TCTCTCTCTCTCTCTCTCGCTTCCACACCCCCCCCCTCCCCCCTTCCCAATCCAATCCCGTTCCCGACACCTCTCTCCACCGTTGGCCGTTGTCGAATTCACCCCCATTTCTCTTTTCCCCTGTTCACATCTCTTTTTTATCCCCTTTTTTAGTCTTCTTTCTTTTCTTTTTTACCGCCCACCCCGGTCGTTTCTAGGATCCTCCCATATAGAACGCCTCCCCGCCTTCCATACCCCAACGCGACAACGCGCCCTGCAGAGGAGAAGAAAAGAAAAAGAAGAAAAAAAGAAAAAAGGGAAAAAAAAAAAGGCCACTCTGTTTCGGGTGTTCCACTCGGCTTGATCCTTCATCTGCACCGAGGGGAAAAAGAAGATTGTGCTCGTACAGGAAAAAGCAATCATCTCTACCTTTCCTTTTTCTTCCTCCCTCCCTCTTATTCTCCCTCTCACTCTCATACTCTCCACTTTCCTTCTCGAAGGAATAAGGAATATATACACGGACGACAGACATATCCAATCGTCAAGTACTCGAATTCGGACAAGATATCTTCACCGAGGCCTACTACTGCTCAATCTGCACGCTCGTCATCTTCAGTCGACTCCGGGCGGTTGAGCCTCATCCGACGACTCTCTCTCACGCCCACTCGCCGCTCATCACTCATTCACCCTTTTTCGACCCACTCTCACTCTCACCCCTAGTCTCTGTTCCGGATGCCGCTGTCCTACCGTGACACCACGACAACGCGAGACATTGTGGTGGTCTAGATGGGATCCTACTGGACCTGGCCGTAGTCTGGTTTTACTCTCGGCACACCCGATACACCCAACACACCCAACCCTCCATCTATCATCGCCAAGGAAGAAGGACTCGTCTTGTTTCACCCACCCGTCAAGGACAAACCGACTGGCAAGGGGGGCAAGAAGAGAAGGGAAACAAGGGAAAGAAGAAGGAAAAGAAGAAGAAGAAGAAGGAAGGAAGGAAGCAACGAGATTCCTCATCTGACCTCTGGAATACCTTTGCTCTTGTAAAACGGCACGTCTTGCCTAGCCCATCTTACAAGTCCCTTTGGTATATTCCCATCTTCCCCCCCCCCTCCCCCCCTATTCCTTTATGAAAATCATCTATAGATACTCTCTTACTAACCATCGACCACCTTCAGAAGTTTTCCTCTTCAAGCCTGACCCAAGTCTGCGACGCGCCTCTCCTTTCCTCGCCAGGCTTCTGCTGGCCCGCAGGCCATGATGGATGAGGAGGCTGCCTTTGACAAGCTTTCGTCTGAGGAGAACGCTGCTGTGTGGAATGAGACGGAACAGAAGTTCTGGGACCGCTTCGAAGACGACCAAGAGACATGGCGCGCCAACCACAACCAGAAGACCATGCACGCCAGCAACGACATACGCGCTCAGCTGAGCAGCCTGACAGCCCGCCGCAGCATCCTTGTCGACACACAAGCCCGTCTCGCCCGGGAGCTGGCCATGGTCGAGGATGACCTGCGTGCCGTCTCCGTGCAATGCGACGCCAGGGCCGCCGACCTCGACGCCGTCGACCAAGACCACCGAGCACAGCTGGCCGCCCAGGTCGCCAACTGGGAGCGCCAGTCCAGGACCATGGCCAGCTTCTTCCGCAGGAAACGCGGCGAGCAACCGGTTTCCTACCTCGACGCCGCCACAAACCGCCACCGTCACCACAGCCCAGATGCCCCTTCTCGGCCTCGTCTTCCCCTCCCGCCACCGCCTACCTCCTCTTCGCGGCTTCACGACCGTACCACCCGCGCCACCGCCGCTACAGCCGCCGCCGCCGCCGCCGCCGCCGCCGCCGCCGCCAGCGGCCTTCTCCCGACCCCGTCAACTCCGACCCACGCCCACGGGACGACGCTGGTCGACGTCGTCGACGCCGACATGAACGTCATCGGTCCTCTCCAGCGTGTCGAGCCCTGGAATCAGTGGATCAGCGCCGTCCTCAGGCTTCCCATCGAGCGCCCCGTCAAGATCCGTCGCGGCCGTCGCTTCAACGAGGATCATCTGGCCACCGTCTACGACCGTACCGAGGCCAAGGGTGTCAAATGGCTGGCCTGCATGATCCAGGCCACCGGGAGGGTCCAGTCGCAGCGGTGCCAGTCGTGCGACAAGAACCAGGGCGCCTTCGAAAAGTGCGTCATTGTCGGCGGCGACCTTCTGCAAAAGTGCGGCAACTGCGAGTGGAATCGCCAGGGCTGTCACGGCGCCTCGTACGAGACCATCGACATCCCTGCTGCCGAGCGAAAGGCGCTGGAGCAGCGCACCCGCCAAGAGCACCGGGATCGCCAAGTCGACGAGAAGACCACCGACGAGAGGGACCGGGGGCACCACGAGGCGCTGGAGAGGGAACGGAGGGATCAGGACGTCTTGACGAGGCAGGCTCTGGCCGCCAGGCCTCTCCTCGATCCCGCGCCCCCGGCCGCTCAGTGGGCTGCTGTGAGACCTGGCCCTGCGCCCATCAGCCAGATCACCGCTGCGGCCGACCACGCAGCCAAGGGGCCGCCGCAGGGCCTCGCCGCCCTCGCCGACAGGGCCACCTTGGTGGGCAACCCCATGACACCCCCCACGTCCGCTGCGACGCCCCCTCCGTCCATGAGCCACAGACGTCTACCGCCACTGCCGATACCGCCCATCAGGGACCCGCGGGACCTGGCACCCTCGACCGGCTTCACCCCGGCCAACACGCGCAGCAGGCCGGAATCGCGCGAGTCGCCGCTGCCTCTCACCGCACCCGCCTCGACCGACGGCTCCCCCCAGTTCCGACCTGCCGAGCACGAGGATGCCCAGCTCCCGGACATCAACAAGGACAACCTCGTCCTCCGACACGACGGCCAGAATTACACCAGCCCCGAGTGCATGGTCGGCGTCCCCCTGGCTAAGATCCACCCGGGCCACCCGTACTGGGAGCCCGAGTGGAAGGATGTGCGGGCAGAGGTGTTCGAGGCGCGCGAGCGGTGGCGCCAGAAGCATCAGTGGACCGTCGAGGCCGAAGCTCGCAACGAGAGGATCGGGTCGTCCAAGTACCAGATCGGTCGCCAGGTCAACCGCGGCACCAAGATCCTTGAGTTCCTCGACGATGAGAATCAGATCAGCCCCTACCAGCTGCTGGCCAAGAAGTTCATCTACTCGCCCAAGGGCGGCATCACGTCGTACGACACCCTCTTCCGTCTGTGCGAGACTTTGTCGGAGCTGTCCAAGTTCAACATTGACGTGTCGCCCGTCGACTGGATGCGCCACCGCCTGCACGAGCTGATGACGGCGAACAAGGGCTACGGCGACAAGTTCAACCTGACCAAGACGGTCCACGACTTCTATCACGACCCCAAGCTCACGGCCCTGCGCCACAAGCACGGGTTCAAGAACATCGGTCGACCCTCGGGCCAGAACAAGGGGTCGCCGGGCGGCCCCAGCAGCGCGACGCCAGTGCCCCTAGCCAGCATCGACAGGGCGGGCGGCGGCGGCAGCGTCACCGGCGCCACGAAGCGCAAGAGCGGCGGCGCCACCTCGCCCGGCGGCACACCCAGGCAGTACACGTACGTTGAATCGCCCCTGGGCAACCAGCTGGGCACCATGTACAGCGACGGCCTGGGTCAGCAGGTGGCGGCGATGCTGCCGCCGTACAAGAAGCGCCGGCAGGAGACCACGGGCGGGTCGCAGCTCCCGAGTTTTGGCCACCTCGTGGACATGGTGGACTCCAAGCAGACGGTGGTAGAAGGGCGGGAGCTGACGGCACGCGTGGATCGCGGCGAGGGTTTCCGTCTGTCGGGCCTCCAGTCGCGCGCGCACGACAGCAATATCGGCGAGAAGCAGTACTGGATCTGGTCCGCCGAGAGCGGCATGCTCCTGCACCGCATCCTGCGCGACGGCGGCGCCGACGACGCCTGGCTCTCCCCCACGGGCCCGTACGAGTTCAACCTGAGGCTCGCCGACGTGGACGAGGTCCAGTACGACACGCGTTGGAACAGGGCATACGTCTACATACCGCCGCAGAGCGACACGGGTCGACTCGTCAACGGTCGTCGTCGCGGCGACCTGCTGGTCGAGTTTGCGACGGCCTCGGACTTTGATGCGTTTATGAACTTTGCCGGCAAGTTGAGCGTGCCGCTAAAGCGATTGACGCCCGGACTGTTGGATCGGTGGGATGAGTTTCGCAGCGCCTCGGAGCCGGAGAAGACGCCTGAATCCGGGGCCGTCTTTCGATGATGATCCTCTCCCTTCTCTCTCTCTCTTTTTTGTTTTTTGTTTTTTTGGTTATAACTTTCTTTTCTCCTTCCTTGATACCCAACATATACGGGATGGGTAAGGGGGGGCATGTACACCCCCGTGCCTCATGAACTGTCAGGCGTTTGATTGTTTTGAAATCCCAGGTGGCAACTGTCTTGTTTCTTCTTCTCCTTCTTCTCCTTTGTTTCTTTTTCCTCTTTCCCTCTTTCCCTCTTTTCTTTTTCTTTTTTTTTTTATACCGTCTTTAGGCGTCAATTTGCCTTATTTCTTTATACTGTTTCAGGCGTCAACTTGTTCTTTCTTTGTCACCTAGACGGATGGTGGATCTGAGTTTCTTTTACTTTTTCTTTTGTTGGTATATATATATATAAAGGTATAGGAGCAACCCATTGGCGTATACTTGTCTGGTAGCTAGTATTTACAAATGAATGACGGCTTTTCGTTGAAATGGGACTGGAAGGGATCCTGACCTTGATACAGTGATGGCCAAGATTCATGTCTCGACTTTCATCGCAATGATAAACCGTGTCCTCCTTAATATTGTCTTTATTCATCATGGTCGACATTCGGTATACATCCATATCCCTTGATGTATATATATATATATATATATTCTGACCCTTCCCCCCTACCTCTTCCTCATGGACCTACCAACCCCAACCACACTCGTAGAAGCAGACCTCGCACTCTTGACCTCGCCGCTCCCACCCATCATACGATCCATAAGCGCTGCTTTACGGTTCTGCGCCTCAGGATCATGGTAGCCAATCTGCGTAGCCGGAGGAGGTTGCTCCTGCTCCTGACCTCGACCGTCATCCCCATGATCATCATCCTGCTGTTGCCTGTGGACGTCACTACCTGCAGAGGCGTTGCTTATGGCGCGGCCTAGGATCTGACGTCTACGCTGTGGTCGTGGGTTGGCGCCGGAGGAGGCGTCTTCGGCCTGTGGTGCCGTCGAGGCGGCCCCTTCGATGGATGATGAGGCGGACGCGTCGAGGAGGGTGGTCAGCTTCGTCGTCAGGGCTTGGCGCTCGGCTGCCTTGGCGGCCCGGAGACGTGCTTCCTCCTCTTCCTCTCCTTCTTCTCCTCTGCGCTTCCCGTCATCCTTCTGCTTGTCGTCGACTGGAGATGGCAACGAGGTCGATCGGTCCGGGAGGGGGATCTGCTTCGGCGGTGACGGGGACTTGTTGGCTGATGAGGGGGAGAGGCGTCGCAGGGGCGGGTCGGCGGGGGCTGATGATGCCGAGGCTGTCGGTTTCCTCGGGGCGGTCGCGTGGGTTCTTGCCGTGTTGAAGTCGGCGGATATGGATGAGTCGTCTTGCGGGATGGGGAGGCGCTTGCTGGTGGTGGGTTGCCGCACCTTGAAGACTTCGTCATCGTCCTTGCCGAAGGCTGTTGGGTCGACGCCGGTGACGATGGGTCCCTTGGCTGCCGCCACCTTCTCAGGGGATATCGTTTTCGTTGTTTTCCTTGTCGTTTCTGCTGCTGCTGCTGCTGCTGCAGTAGCAGTGGTGGTGACGCGCTTGCCTAGCCGGCCTCGCAGCTCGGGAAAGATAAAATCCTCGGTTGGCACGTTGTACCCCGTCGATATGCACTCCCACAGCCAGTCGGCCGACACGACGGGTATGCCCCAGGCCAGCGCGGCACGCAGCTTGTCCTTGCGCATGGCGTCCAGCGACCTCACCACCAGAACGCTGGTGGACCGGCGGAACTGCTCCTCGAAGCGGGCGCCCAGCTGCGCCACGCTCCTGGCCACCTGGCTCAGCTCGATTCCGGTAAAAGCGGCCGTGCAGATGGTCAGGGACGCAAAGTCCGGGATGGGGAACATGGGGAAGGGCCGGCCGAGCGCGTGGTGGTCGCTCGGGGGGAAGAAGCGCCGGTTGTGCATGCACTTCTCCACGTAGAACTCGGTGATGATGTGCACCCCCGTATTCTCTATCGACGGGTGCCCGTCTGGCTGTGACGTCTGCGGCACAATCAGGAACCGGTGCGTTACCTGGCTGTCTGCCGCCTCCCGCAGCGTCGGCGCCACGAGCCCGTCCAGCCCGATGATGGTCTGCGAGAGCACTGTGGTGCGCTGCTGCGTGAACCCATGAATGTAGAAGATGCAGTCCGAGAAGATGCCCTCCTTTTCTGACTGCAGCATTGCCCGCGGATTGGCTGGCACTGCTGCTGCTGCTGCTGCTTCTCTTGTTGCTGCTGGTCCGTCGCCGTCCTGCTCCTGTTTGATCGGCTGCGTGGGCTCCTCATCCGCCCGTCTCTCATTCTCCTTGACGAACGAGTAGTCTCTGGAGTCTGAGCGTCCCAGGATATCACCCCACAGATTGTTGCGCTGCGAACTGAGCTTCATGCTGGCTGTCTTGCGCAGCTTACGGGTGCCCTCCTCCGCGCCCACCGACGCCGTCGACCGAGCCCGCTTGCCCAGCGACGGTCGCCGAAAGTCCCGCTTCACCCAAGCACCCACTCCTTGCTCCTCCACGGGCAGCAGTGGGTCAAACTTATCCTCCTCGAGTATCATGCCGCGCTGCACGCTCTGCTCGAGCCACGCCAGCGTCACGGCCCGGATGTTCCACGACCGGGCGGCCGTGAACTTCTTGCCCTCGGGCTTGTTGACGATGAGGTGCGTGCAGCGCCTAGTGAGGTCGTCGGTATGGCGTCCGCCACCCGCCATGATCTTCTCGACGATCTCGTCCCGCTGGTGCCCGAAGCCTGTGAGGCAGATGAGCAGCGACTGCCGCGACGGCGGCTCCGCGTCGCGCGTCCGCGGGAGGGACCCCTTCATCTCCAGCGCTCGCAGCTGGTGCTCCCGCTCCAGCTTGAGAAAATCGATCGGCTCGTCGTCCTTCCACAGCTGCGACACGGCCTCGACCCAGCTGGCATCCATGGCGCGGATGTCCGGTCGCTCGCGCGCCACATGGCGGTACTTGGGCGTGTCGTAGTCACCAACGATCAGGTGCGTCACGTCCGGCGTCAGGTCATATTTGTGGACTCCCCCCAGGTCAGAGACCTTTTGGGCAATGTCGGCCTACATCAAGTCACACTTGGTCAGTTCATGATATCGACGGCTGGGAGAGGAGGAGTGGGAGTAATGGGCGGACGTACTCTGTATTCGGGAGGGATACTAGTGCAGCAGACAATGATACCCTTGAATGGCTCAGCTGGGTCTATGTTGAGTTGTTCCTCGTCATGATGGGTAGGGGATTCCATATCGCCATGGCATGGATGCTATATAGAGTTAGGGGCCAGAAAAGTGTCCGGGCGAGAGACTACGTATCGATCGACAATAGGAAGTAGTAGTATTGCTGTCCATGCCTGTCGTTAAGAGGGTCTCAACGCGTCGCGGGACACTTTCGCCGCGCGTTTAGGACGAGCCGACGTCATTAAGGACTGGATTTAGGAGCTGGAGATGAATTCGCACTGTATAAATAGTGGCATTTTGCCATCGATACTGACCCTGAAGCCGCTAAATCTACAGCCCACGTACAGTATTAATTCACAGTCCCGATTCAATAAACACAGGGCACTTCAGGCTCCATTCTCACGCTGGCCCTCAACTGTTGCTCCGTCGCAAACCCCCCGACTGCTACGAAACTGAACAAGCGCCCATCTCTCCGACATTGCTGTTCCCGCAGCTTGCTTTCCAACCATGCCGCCCTCTTCTTCACAACTCAGACCACTCATTGCCAACTTCACCGAGCTTACCGGAGTCTCAGAGAGAACCGCAATCAGGGTACGTTGATTTTCTGCCCCGCCCCCGCCATGCGAGCACACTTCTCCTCTGGATATGTCTCGCCTGGTGCCTTGGTCGCGCGCATATGCCACAGCGGATCCTCTTGGGGAAGCAATATCTGATTTCTCTCTCTCTTTATTCCGTAGTACCTGAAAGGCTTCGATTATGACACCGAACGGGCTGTCGACGCGTGAGTGCCGTACCCGTGCCACATCCCTCGACGGCACACGCAGCGCTGTTATTTTTCCATGGCCGACTCCGGACCCAGTGAAGCTAACTGCTATTTGACTACAGCTATCTGAATCATGGCGGCGAGATACGCGACAGCCCTATCGAGGGCAAGCTAAATGCTCTTTTCGATACGCTACACGGTAGGTTTCGATGCGGCGTTCCTCTCTTCCACGGCAACGGGAGGGCCTTGTCTGACAGCTTGCTCAAGATGCGAAAAACGACGGCAATGATAAGATGGAGCTCGACTCTACAATGAGTTATTTCGGGGACAAGCTCCAGGTCAGCTTGGAGAATGCCGGGCTCTTTGTCGTCATGGAGCTGGTGCAGGCCCCCAGCGTCGGAGAGATCGATCGCGCGGGCTTCGTCAAGGGATGGACGGCTGTACGGTGAGTAGGGCATGGCCATACATATCCCATGTTCCGAGGCGGGTGATTTCATAGTGTGACTGACGTGGAGAGGCGACAATGCAGATGTGACACAATCTCATCACAAGCCGACCTCCTGAAACACCGTATCTCCCAACTATCGACCGATATGGCTCTCTTCAAGAAGGTGTACAGGCACGCCTTCGTGGCGGGGCGTGAGAGAGATCAAAAGGCCCTGAGCCTCGAGAATGCCCTGGTATACTGGGGTATGCTGTTCACCGAGCCTGGGTGGCGGTGGGAGAGCCAGAACCATAACTGGCTGGACTACTGGAAGGATTATCTCTCGGAGAAGTGGACCCGTACCGTTAGTAGGGATATGTGGAACATGGTTCTCGAGTTCGCCTTTAAGAGTGTCGAGGATGAGACACTCTCGTTCTGGAGTGAGGATGGGGCTTGGCCCAGCGTCATTGACGACTTTGTCGACTGGTGCAAGAAGAAGGGCATCACCAAGACTGACTCGATGGAGATTGATGCGAGCAGCTGAGCGTGGAAAGACAGCTCGGCAACATGGCTAACGACCAAGCAGCTTGATCAAGGAGGAGACCTTTAAAGTGCCTGTGAAGCGAAACGGACAATGTAGCCAGAAAGGGGGGGAGGGAGGGGGGTTTGGTCAACAGTCTACCACTTCACTCCTATGCAGCATAAAACTAAGCGTAGCCTGAGCTTGAATATGTTATGGTATTATATTCGGACGCCGTTTTTAAACTACGTGAGTCTCACCATGAGGATGGAATCGGGTGATGAATATACAATGCATTTCGTGTCATGAGACATGATAAAAATCCAAACGTAGAAAAGGGGAGACGCCCTCTTTCAGTACACGGCGCCGCGCCTGTTCCAGGTCGGATCCATCTATAATACAGTTTCCTCTAGACCAGTCGTCGTTTATGTTGCTGTTCCTCCCACTCCGTTATCCTACAATAAAGATCTTCCTCTGTCGCTGCTGTCATCTTTTTTTCCCTTTCCCCAGGGGCAATAGGCCATCATTCTCGCTCCTCGAGTATTAAGCCTCGCTGCTGCTCGTTCTCCACTTGGGCATGCCGAACCTCGATAGGGTCTCGAGTTTGCCATCGCCGAGTTTGACATGACCGGCCCGGATCATACGGGGCTCGAGGCGCAGAGTGCTGCGGACCTCCTGGTGGACGCGAGTGCTCGAGTCATAGCGCATGACGAAGTAGTGGCCGTGGGTGTGCTTCATCTGATGAATCGAGATGGGGCGGGGAAGAGAGAAGACACCCCAGTTGCTGATACCGCGAACGACACCGCCATTTTTGAGGACGAGGGATCCGATGGTATGGGCGATTCTGTCATGGCTGTTAGCAGCATGTCCCCTTTTTCGCCTGCTCTTCGCCTTTATTCGGGGTCGGGTTGGGGTCATACTCCTTGACTTCGCTCAAGCTTCCCGGACGGACGATTCCCACAAGTTCGTAAAGCATCCTGACGGCATCAATCTTGTGGATTTGCACGTCGTCGTCGTGGTCGTCGTTGTCGATGAAGTCAAGGAGCAGGAAGTAGCAAAGAGCCCACACGCGCCTTGGCCCTCGAATTCTGGAGCAGGGGTTGTTTTACCCGATATTCTGCCGACAATATTCGTATATCCACTACATGCGACAAAGCCATGGGCTAGAGAACCACTTCTTCTACCCCGATTATCCATTAGTAAAAATCAGTCAACGATTTGCTGCTTCAACCCCAGAGTGGACGCGTAGCCGAACCCCAAATTCAATGCGGGGAGAATACGGAGTAAGTCGGAAAATTCAGCTCCGCTGAGGAGACCTGGATCCGCCACGCTTCAAGTGTCAGTTCCCCGAGTAGTCCGGAACAATTCGCCCTTTCTTTTGACATTATTTTACATTATACAGTGAGGTGCATATTCGCAATTGTACATCGTAGGCCTCATAGGCGCTCCTTAGAAAGAGACTGCCATATTCTCCAAGGCAGCCTCCAGCCTCCCGTCCGGACAGCAAAAGGGTCAAAGTCGGCTTTCTCCAGATTCTCCAGGTACTGGGAAACGGGCGCCGCTTCAAGAAGCACACCAAATCCTTGATGGAGATCCCTAGATGTGCTATCGCCCTGCTGCTCCCCGTAGGTGTGGTGCTCATCCTGGCCGTGGTGCTCAAACTCGTGGCCCGGATCCTCGCCTGCTTTTAGCCTTTTGAGCATTTCGCGCACTGTGATGAGGTGGTCATTTGCCCGCGTCGCCACCTTGAACACGGCATTCTGGAGTCCTGGGGCTTGGGGGCCCTGACGAAACACCTCTTCCTCCTTGACGCCTTCCTCGGCCATGACGTCCAGCGGCAGCAGCAGCGCGGGCTTGTGCGTCACGGGCGCCTCCATTCCTGACGGTGTCCTGACCGGCTGGGCCGAAGCAGCAAGAATAGGTATGCCACGTAGCACGGCTGCGATGCCGCATGCTTTGCCCACGTGGCTGGCTAGGTGGTCGACGTTCATGGAGCGAATGGGGATCGCAGCCAGTGTCGCGTACATGAGCGTCGAGTATGTGTTCTCTGCGTACTCCTCTAGGCTCGCGAGACTCGCAAATGGCCTGTTGTCCATGTGTTTTTCTCGAGTCCGGACTAACCTTGACAGCCAGAACTTGATGGACTTCTTGGTCGACCCGCCCGCGCGTTCCTGCAGCTCCATCAAGCTTCTGTGTAATAAGATGCAGATGGGCTCCCGGGGTGGCTGGCCCTCAAATGTTTTGTCTAATGACTCTTGCCAGAACCGCATTCGCATCGTTCCAATTGTAGGATTCGATACAATTTCGGGCAGTCGCACGAGCTCCAGGTTGAGTGCGCGGAGGGCGGCGTACATGTCCTGGACGGGGGGGGACACAAAACGTCGGATCAGGTGGGCATCGTAGTCGCTCGTCCTGAAATACAATAGGTCAATTGCGCACATTCGATAGGTGACGGGAAAAAGAGAAAGAGGACGAGGAAGCATACTGTATCTGCTTCAAGCAGTAGCTTCTTGCCGAATGCACGTCCGCCTCGGTCACGTAGCTTCGATGGCCCCGAGCGGCGTGGCCAAGCCTGGACAGGCCATGGCTCAAAACCCGAGGGCGACTCATATATGCGAGACGAACGGACGCGGCCGAGTTTGTGCGACCCAATATGAGAGAAGTAAAGGTATCATATAGCTATACATGTATCATAGCCATGGTCATCCCCGAATATAATGGTGCAAGGCGCATGACGTCGAAGCTTGCTGACCGTTGCTGACCATTCGGGGAAAACGCGGTCACGTGCATCCTCTACGCGGTCCGTCGCGACAGTCAGCGACCCCAACGCGTCAACCTCAACTTCATGGTTTGTTAGATTAATTCGCCCAGAAACAAGTCAATCTCTCCCCCATCTTTGTCGGTTCCGATGCCTGACTTAGATGATGTATGCAGAACATTCACAAGGGCCACCTGTCAAACGACGGAGGTTCTTTCACGACCAGGATGAAGCCCCAACCGCATCTACGACACAAGAGGACCACTCAGCAGAACACGAAGAGATCGTGAAGTTAGAGGACGATATCAAGACCGAATCCGAATCTAAAAATGGCCTTTTCGAGAGGTCGCACAATGAAACCGCCGAGCGGTCCGTGGGCACCGAGCAGTCTCCAACAGCACAGGAGTCCTCGTTGGGGGCTTTCGACCAAGGCACATTCGAGAGCTTCGTTGGTGCCAAGGTCGGCGCCGATGTCATGGCCATACTACGAGACAAGTGCGGAAGTAACCTCGAGTGCGCCGTCAATATGTACTTTGACAGAACATACCAGAAGCTCTCCAAGAAGGCACCCCGTTCCTTTGCGCACTCATACGCGACGACAAAAAGCACGCCGACGCCACCGACTCCTCCCTCAAGAAGCACCACGTCGTTGAGGTACATTGGCGCCTTTGGAGCCGAGGGCTGGGCAACCCGCAGCGGTGCCAACTTTCTCAAGCATGGCGACATCGTCAGGATCGAACGGCAAAAGGTCCAGCCCCCACAGAACAGTAGAGGCAAAGGAGGCAAGCTTGGAGGGGCACCCGCGCCCAACTCGGCGGCTGCGCGACGTGTGGATGTTCTCGTGCGTTTCACCACACAGAGCGGCGTAGAAATTGGCCGGTTGGCCAAAGACACGGCGAACTGGGTGTCGACGTTGATGGATCAGAAAATTTGCAAGTTCGAGGGCACCTGCGTGTACGCACCCGACCGCTTGCGTACCAACGACACTGTGTTTCTCCAGCTGCGGTGCTTTTTGCTGGGCTCGGCCTTTCTCCACCGCAGGTTCCAGCTGGCAGATAACCGGTCCACGAACCCGTTTGAACAGAATGAGACGGCGGACGAGAAGGAGCTGCGTCTTCGCCAGACGGCCATCGTCAGGCTCCTCCAGGAAATTAACCTTCAGCCGACCGCTATCAATTCCATGGCCAAAGATGGAAAAGAGGGTCTTCTCAAGGTGGCTGAGATGGACGAGCAGAAACAAAGGGGCCCGAAGAGACAGGACAATATGGGAAAGGATGCAGGATCGGGACAAGCCTCGGATGAGGCGGAGGAAGGCAAAGAGCTGGAGCAAGATCAGCTCGACTCGCTCTACCGAAAAGCCCAGTCCTTTGATTTCAACACACCAGAGGCAGAGCCCACTGATACATTCGCTATGCAACTACGACCGTACCAGAAGCAATCACTCTATTGGATGATAGCCAAGGAAAAGGATCAGAGGGGTAGTAGGGAGCCATCCATGCACCCGCTGTGGGAGGAGTATGCATTCCCCACCAAAGACGTTGACGACAAGGACCTGCCTCTTGTAGAGAGTCAGGCCAAGTTCTACGTGAACCCGTACTCGGGCGACCTGTCGCTCGACTTTCCCGAACAAGAACAGCATTGTCTGGGTGGCATCCTGGCAGATGAGATGGGACTGGGCAAGACGATCCAGATTCTCAGCCTGATACACTCCCACCGGACCGACCTTGCCCGCCAGTCTAGGCAGCCTGCAGGAGACTTGTCTGGCGGCATAAACGGGCTTCAGAGGCTGGGGTCGGGGTCGCCTCCGATCCAGGATGCCCCATTCACGACACTTGTCATTGCACCCATGTCGCTCCTGTCGCAGTGGAGGAGCGAGGCAGAGAAGGCCTCTCAGAAGGGGACGCTCAAGGTAGAGCTGTACTATGGCAACGAAAAGAGCAGCAATCTGCAGGCGCTGTGCTCGAGTTCGAATGCCGCGTCCGCCCCAGACATCGTCATCACCAGCTACGGCATTGTGCTCTCAGAATTTAGCACCCTCGCGGCGAGGAACGGAGACAAGTCTCTCCACAATGGCATCTTCTCCCTCAAATTCTTCCGCGTCGTACTCGACGAGGCCCACAACATCAAGAACCGATCGTCCAAGACGGCGAGGGCATGCTACGAGATCTCGGCAGAGCACCGCTGGGCACTGACTGGCACGCCCATCGTCAACCGGCTGGAAGACCTGTTCAGCCTGGTGCGGTTTCTAGGCGTGGAGCCGTGGAATAACTTTTCTTTTTGGAGGACCTTTATCACGGTGCCGTTCGAGTCCGGCGACTTCGTCAGGGCGCTGGATGTGGTGCAGACGGTACTGGAGCCGCTGGTGATGCGCCGCACCAAGGATATGAGGACACCGGACGGGGAGCCGCTCGTGCCGCTGCCGCCCAAGAAGGTAGAGATTGTCGAGGTGGAGCTGTCACAGACGGAGCGCGACGTCTACGACTACATCTACACCAAGGCGAAAAATACCTTCTCCAAGAACATGGAGACGGGCACGGTCATGAAGGCCTTCACGACCATCTTCGCGCAGATCCTGCGGCTCCGTCAGTCGTGCTGCCACCCGCTGCTGGTGCGCAACCGCGAGGTGGTGGCGGACGAGGAGGAGGCTGCGGCTGCGGCCGATGCATCCACAGGCTTCTCGGACGATATGGACCTCGACGTCCTCCTGAGCCGCTTCAGCAGCGCGGTCGACGAGGCCTCCAAGGACAATCAGACTTTTGGGGCGCAGGTTCTCGGGGAGATCCGCAACGAGTCGGACAAGGAGTGTCCCCTGTGCTTCGAGGAGCCCATGAACGACCAGACGGTGACGGGGTGCTGGCACTCGGCTTGCAAGACGTGCCTGCAGTCGTTCATGAAGCACGAGAGCGACCGTGGCGTGGTGCCCAAGTGCTTCAACTGCCGCGCGCCTCTCAACCGGCGCGACTTGTTCAAGGTAGTCCGCCACGACGAGGAGGTCGACGCCGTGACCAAGAAGCCGCGCATCAGCCTACAGCGCCTGGGGGCCAGCACGTCGTCGGCCAAGGTGGAGGCCCTGATCGGGCACCTGCGCGCCTTGCGCAAGGAGCACCCGCTCATCAAGTCGGTCGTCTTCTCACAGTTCACATCGTTCCTGAACCTCATCGAGCCGGTCCTGACCCGCGCGAATATCAGGTTCCTTCGTCTGGACGGCACCATGGCGCAGAAGGCCAGGGCCGCCGTCCTGCAGGAATTTGCCGATTCCCCTGTCTTCACCGTCCTGCTCATCAGTCTCAGGGCAGGTGGCGTGGGTCTCAACCTTACCAGCGCCGGGAGGGTCTTCATGATGGACCCATGGTGGAGCTTCGCCGTCGAGGCGCAGGCTATTGACCGCGTTCACAGGATGGGACAACAGCACGAGGTACAGGTCAAGAGGTTCGTCGTCAAGGAGAGCGTCGAGGAGAGGATGCTGCGGATCCAAGATAGGAAGAAATTTATGTGAGTTTTCTTCTCAACCATCTTTTCTTCTCTTCTCTTTATTCTTCTCTATTCCCTCTTTTTATCTCAACTATGAAAATACTAACCACCCCCCCCCCCCCCTAAACAGTGCAACATCATTAGGAATGATGAGTGACGAGGAGAAGAAGATGCAGAGGATAGAAGATATCAAGGAATTGCTGAGCTAATTCAACGGGTTTTGATACAACGTACATATGGGAACGACTGCATCTGGTGCATTGACACATTGGCGTACCGGCATGCATGAAAATAGATGACGCATATTATTCTCGAAAAAAAAATAAGAAGAGAAAAAGAAACCCTGGATTTTCAGAATTGACATTCAAAGAACAAGAAAGTATTGTAGCTAGGCTAATGCCGCTGCTAGGCCCATCAGGCATGATGCATGGAAAATGACAGCTGGCTCGCAGTAATTGATGTGGTTGGATGAAGAAGGAGGGAATCGGGTATCGTAATACACGGGAAGAAGAAGGAAAAAAAGAAATATACAAAGGCGAATGGAATGAGAAGAAGAGGCCTGGCGAAGCAACAAGGCAATTAGAAAAGTAACACCTATATACATGATCTTCTGTCAGCCCGGACTCGACAATGCTAGGAAGGGACCTGGTACAGACCAATGGTTTGAAGAAGCTACAAATAAGCATGTCTACCTCACGTCCCTATCACTCGGGGGGAGGTTCCGGTGTTGGCTCGGGGGGAGGTTCCGGTGTTGGCTTGGGGGGAGGTTCCTTTGGCGGGGGTCGGCCAAGGTCGGAGCTCTTGGAGCTCCTGCTGCTCGACGGCTTGCGTCCGCCGCGACGGCGTTTCCGGCCGTTACTGAANGAAGAGGCCTGGCGAAGCAACAAGGCAATTAGAAAAGTAACACCTATATACATGATCTTCTGTCAGCCCGGACTCGACAATGCTAGGAAGGGACCCGGTACAGACCAATGGTTTGAAGAAGCTACAAATAGGCTTGGGGGGAGGTTCCGGTGTTGGCTTGGGGGGAGGTTCCGGTGTTGGCTCGGGGGGAGGTTCCGGTGTTGGCTCGGGGGGCGGCTCCTTTGGCGGGGGTCGGCCAAGGTCGGAGCTCTTGGAGCTCCTGCTGCTCGACGGCTTGCGTCCGCCGCGACGGCGTTTCCGGCCGTTACTGAAGCGGATCGAGCGGCGGTATATGCAGAGGAAGGCCACCACGGCCGTGATGAAGACGCCGAGGACGACGGCGACAATCACACCGGTGCGGATGTTGACATTCTGGGTCGGATTGCTGGAAAACTGGCGTCGAAGCAGCCGACCGGTCTCCCCCTCCCCCGTCCACGGCGAGGACGAGGGAACACGTCGGTCCGAGGGGATATACATCCGCCACCCTACTCCCCTCCGATTTCTCTCTCCGTCTGTGTATCTCTTCCTGTCACCGGGCTTTTTTTTCCGTCTCCGGCTCCCACAGTCTGGGGAATATCAGATGTGACAGCTTTTATTCTTTTACGTATAGGCTCTCAACGTTTCAAAAGGGGGGAACGACGTGGCAGGACGGGGCCGTAAAAGAGGTCGGGGGTCATCTCACGGGGTGCAGTATGCAAATGATAGAGATCCATGTATATCCTCGTATATGGAGTACATTTAGCATTCTCCCCCCACATAGAAGCTGACGAGAAAGAGGAGAGCAACATGGGGGGAGGGGGGTGAAGGGGGAGAAACTGGCGGTGTTATGTAGCCGTCTGCGGAGGTTGAACGGGCACCACACAACTCTGGGGGCTCCTGGTCTGTCAGCGGACAATGGGCAGTTCATTTGCGTGCTCGGGTGTGGAAATGGTGCAGGCTGCATGCGCCATGGCGGTTCCGACTGCATCGTGAGCGGCATGGTGCATATATCGTCCTGGGCAGCAAACAGTGCCTTGACGTGGACAACACCATTATGCGCGGTAACCGGTGCGTCCGTGGGACCTAGTCGTTCAGTTTCACTTCTTCTTCGGCCGTGCCTCTGCATATGTCGTAGGCGCAAGTAAAGTCCCAGGCATCAGTTCTGAAACTGCCTTGGATCAACGGTGAATGGCAAAGAGGGGGCAAGGAGGGGGGGGGGGGGGGGAGATAAGAACGGGTAGAAGAGAGGAAACCAGCGGTCTGGGCACCAACTCCGAGCAACGAGCGAAATGTGAGAAAACAAGTCTATATATTATCAGTGCTCTCTTCCCTCGGCACGCCGCTCGATGGTCCCGTCGTCGTATTCGAATGGTTGCAGGGGGAGTAGAGAGAAAAAAATCGAGGCCCATATTCCAGTTGGTGGGAGTCCCAAGAACCAACCTCAAAAGGGTGCGATCGGTGTATTCAACGAGGAGAAGTAGTCGGGGCGGCTCTAGACATGTATTACTATGCAGGGCCAACTCATCGCGCCGTCGAAACTGAGCACCAGTTGAGCCTAGGGAGGGTTGCGTCGGGTTGCAAATTGGGCTTTAATATATCAGCGAACAGCGAGCCACTCAAGGTGCATGTGCTCGTCAAATACAAATGAAGTTGGACGAGAACAGCGTACAGATAGATAAACGACGATCCGTTGTACAAAATAGAGCCAGATGAGGGGTTGATAGATGAGGGACCGGTTTTCTATTTCGAACACCTTGCATTAGATGATGAAAGTTCTCGGGTGTATAAGATAACAAGCCCACGCCGGTATGAGGGAAAGGAACCTACGAGATACAGACAATTCTAGCATCGATCAGCTAGGCAGCATCTGAAATCAGCATAACAATATTGTTGGTCGTACGACCAACAGGCGCCGACCCAACTTGGGATAGAACCCGTCCTTTTCCGCGTACCATTCCCTTCCAGAATACATCACTTCCAAGGCTCCCAGCCCTCTCAGTTCGAGCATTGCCATTCTCGTACGGTCAACAAGATGCCAGCTCGTCTTGAAACCTTATCCCATGACCAGCTCTGCTCCTCTGTCCTCGTTGAAGCTTCAGGCTCGTCAGCCGATTTGGGGAAACGTTTTGTCTAGAATGCATGATTCTTTCCACGGCCGAGATCTTCAGAGTCGTCGAATTCATCAGGATACTCTTAGCTAAGTTTTTTGTTCATCCTCTTCCTTATTCACCTTCTCCGAACAAGCAGGTATGGATTTCCAGCCGTTCCTGCCGAGGCGGTATGTCAGAATGAGCTCCTACGGAAGTCTCGTGATCCGGATAGAGTCTGGAGCCTCTTCCTTGTCCTAATGGACCGGCGCAAACTGGCATTGTGGCTTCGTCGATCAGTCGATTGAGGCTGGTTGTTGTAGCCGCGGATATCCACAAGGAAAGTCGATAGATTGGTAGGTTCTAGTTTCAGGGATGCGATGTGCGCCCCGTACTCTACAGCTTCGTCATGTGAAGCTTGATGGCTCCGGGCTGAGGCTTAGGGCCATCACGGGGGGGCTTGGCGATGCCATCTGGGCAGAGCAAATGTCTAGAGCAGAAACAATTGTGAGCTCTGGGAGATTGGTGGAGAGGGCCGAAGGCCGAGTTTGCTCTCGCAGTAAGCTTTCAGAAGAGGAAGAATGTTTCCCATGATTGCGGGAGCAGGTTTTGCAAAGAATACAGAGTTAGGGAGGGCTTCGTCTGTACCTGGTAGCAAGCATAGGTGACTGACAAGCGGATACTAAATGTACAACGACAAAGATGAGTGAAGTTCAACGCAAAGCCCAAAGCAACGCTGTGCGATTAGTCATTATGTTGTATAGAAATATGGAAGGAGCCATCTTTGCGACTTCCGTTTTCTCTTGGGCTCGTCTACTAAAATTGCTTACCGTCCGGCATTGCGAGCCCGTGAATCACTCCGAGGCTCTCTCTCTTTCTTTTCATCACCTTCGTTCTGTGCTTCCTTGTCTCATATCTTCTGCACTTTGTCTCTTCCGATCCTGCTCGCACTTCACACGACAGTTGTTAGTGAATCTCCAGAGCCCTGCCCGAGGACTACAAGGACCGCCTTTTCTTTCCCGTCCGGCCGTCAGCCGGGAGCGGCCAACAACACCAACTGACCCGAGGGAGCTGTGTTCGCACCAGATACTTGGTCGCGCTGGCATCTCAGTCAACACGTCAATAGTACATACAATGGCATCATGTAGCATGGGCTCCGTGACTGACTGGCTAAGCTCCGCTGATAGCTGGGCAAGAAGACGTCGCTCGTGAAGATGGGTATATAAATCGGGGACCTGCCAGCCCCAGGGGCGTTAGTGGGGTACTCCGGTACTCGGCCAACGAACCAAGTATCCGCAAAGCATGCACCTGTCCCCCTGGTTTCCCAACGGGATTTCCAGACCATCGTTATTCCCTGCTAATTCAGAACCCGTCACGCATCAGTTATGCTCAACTCGTCGAGATAAGCCCAGTTGCTTCTTGTGGCGTTTTCCGACAGCCAGGATTACCTCTCGGTACTCGGTCAGGCGTACTGCTTCCAGTCTAGTGCTCCCGCCTCCGAAGTCCCCAACTCATCGTCGTGTATCGTTATCCGTCGACTTCCTGGCTTGGCTGCGCCGTGGATTGGTAGGTGGTCGGTGGTCCAGGGCCTTGAGTTCGCCGAGATGTCAGGAGAGTTTGGGGAGGGGACTTGATTGGATGGCCACACCTCCAAAAGGTGTTCTCGTAGGGTCCCGTGGCCTGGTCTACTACGCGAGGTGGCAGGAAGAGAGGAGTGTTGATGGTCGTGTAACCTTCGTAAGAAGAGGGCGTTGGTCCTCTTCGCCTTGTAACGCGCGAGTACATTTTTTCTGTGGCCGTTATTACGACAAGACTCGTGCCAATAATATTTATACAGGCCAGGGGGGGGGGAGGGGAAAAAAAGAGAAACAGAAACAGAAGATGACACCCCCGACTCCCTTGCTGAACCGAGAACCATACGCGCAATCATGGATAGATCATTTGGGGACGTTTCGCGCCGTGTACCTCGTCGCTCTGTGCTGCGTGGACTCGTTCCTCTTCGCGTACGACACGGGTATCGTGGGAGGTATATCCTGACCTTTGAGGGATTCCCATCGACTTTGGCTATGGCGAGCATCAGAGCGCAAGCGTCGGGTCCAATTCGACCAGTCTGCTACAGGCTGGAGGTATGTCGAACAATGACGACTGAGCTTACCTGGCTGCATGCCTGCCAACGTGGCGGCGCTGACAATGCACCGACAGCCTTCTTCTCATGCTTCTTCATCCGGCCATTCGTGGCGCGTTTCGGCCATCTTCAACATCGGTGCCGTGATCCAGACCATCAACACGCACTCCCTAGCCGTTACGTGGCCTGCGTCATCGGCGGCGTCGGCGTCGGCATGGCCACAGTCATCATCCCCGCGTACTCGGCCGAGATGGCGCCCAAGAACATCCGCGGCACCCTGGGGTCCATGTTCCAGTTCTTCTTCACCCTGGGTGTCGTGAAACCGTACTGGATCGACTATGCCGTCCAAAAGTACATCCCCGTGGGTACGCGCCAGTGGCAGACCTCAGTCGGTCTGCAGCTCGTGCCCGGGGCCATTCTGGGATTGGGCATGCTGCTCACAAAGGAGAGCACGCGTCGGCTGGCCAAGCAAGGTCGTCACGAAGAAGCCATTGGGTCGTTGACCTGAGTGCGTGGTGGGGACTCGGACGAGGTGCGATCCGAGTAAGTCTCCGATCGTGTTTGAAGAGAGAAGAAGAAAGGAAGCACTTTTTGTTCATCATGGAACAAGGATCTAACCTCTGGACAGGTTTGCAGAAATCTTGGTTGGGGATCAAGGAAGAGGCACGCGATACGTCAGGCGTCACATGGCGAGAGCTAGCCCTGGTACCTACTAATCGACACCGTCTGCTGGTGCTCATCTGCCTGTAAATCGGTGCGTCTGTCTTGCTGTTGATCACTATTCTTTGTCGAATACTCCCCTGCTCTGGGACACAAACTAACAAGCACGGTTCGGCAGGTGTGCAACTGACGGGGAACACATCTATGGCCTGCTGTAAGCGACTCCTTCTTCTTTCGCCGATGACATTACTTTGACGACAGATTGCCAACAGGTTTCAACATACAGATGCCCCCCAGATCTTCTCGCTGGTGGGTGCAGGCCAGGACAAGCTGCTGCTGACGGGCTTCTTCGGCGTGGTCGAGGTGGTATCGTGCCTGTTCTTCCTGCTCTTCCTGGTTGGGCGTCTGGGACGACGCGGATCCCTGCTAACCGGAGCGCTTCTCATGGGAAGCTACATGCTCATTGTTGCCGTTCTCCCGGTCAAGTTCCCTCCTGACCTGAATGCTGGACTGACACCACCCTCGATTGCGTCGTCGATCATGATTTATCTCGAGGTCATGAGCTACAATATTTTCATAGGGTCCTGTTCCTTCGGTAGGTCATTCTTCTTTTCGTCTCCCCTCTCTCCGTCAGACTTATACCCTCTCTTCTTTCGCCTTGCTCCTCTTCTTTCATCTTGCTCTTCTTTGGTTTTTTTTTTTTTTGCGTCTGTACCAGTTGAGACAAAGAAGGCCGGGTTGCAAAAAAACCCGCTTGGCTGATACCTCATGATGTAGCACAGGTCTACACAGGACAAGTGACAAATCTTCCCTACGCGCATCCACGAGGCTGGCGTGACCATCGGCACAGCGGTGCAGTGGCTGCTCAATTTTGTCTCTTTGCAGGCGACGCCTCATGCCGACAGCAACCTGAGATGGAGGACATTTGTCATGTTTGCCATTTTCAACTATACTCTCGTCATATTTACCTGGTTCTTTATCAAGGAGACCAGGGGCAAATCTCTCGAGGAGATGGAAGCCTGTAGGTTTCTCCGTCTATCTCTCTCTCTCTCCTTCACGACCACCAAATCCACAGTCGGGTGGTTCTTTTCGTGCCTTTGCTAACGGGTGTTTGGTGGGAAAGCTCTGCCGGATCGGGACTCGGAGTCGATCAGGATTGGCGGTGCAGCAGGGTCGGAGCATGCGCGGCTTACCATTGAAACGACAAGGTCGGCACAGCTAAAGATACGGTGGCCTCTGCCGAGAAGGAATAAGGTCATCCGCGGGGTCCATGGTGATACATGTCGTGTTTACTGTCCGATCAGTGGAACCACAGGGGTTTTTATCCAACGTACAAGGATCAATAACACTGTTCACACAAACGAGGAAGTTTTATCTCTTTTTTTTTTTGACAATATTGACTGTACTCTCATTGATTTATGATTCTGTGTGTGTGTGTGTGTGTGTGTGTTTTCGACTCCGATTGACTCGATCGACCTGCCGTGTCGTTTTTTCGATGAGATACATGAATCATTGGCGTAAGGCGTGGCCGACGGTGTCCGGACTAGGGGTTTCTAGTACTTTGTCAGTCTGTTGAGCGGATCACTCTCTGTAGAGAGCGCAGGCAGTAATACACTAGGGGTCGAAGTAGTAGTCGGACTCGGACTGACTGTAGTCAGGGCCCAGAGGGGAGGACCGTAGTCGTTCTGATAAAACTAGTAATTCCTGACAGCTTGTAGAAGCGTCTCAGATGCACACCACCACAAGGGTGGGGAGGACGATCAAGGGAACCCACGGTTCCACAAGGGAGAGTTTGTATGTGACGCGTGTTTCTTTTGATCGGTACGGTTCCACTTTTTTCTCTTCTTCTTTTCTTTCCCCTCTCTCTTCTTTTCTTTCAAAGTTCACCGCATCGGCCATTACTCTTAAGGTGGAAAGCTGAGTGAGGGGACGGAAGACGGCCTAGTCATGAGTTAGAGTAATACCGCTGGGTGACGGGGAGAAAGGGGTAGAGATGTACGAGTAAGAGTACTTTTCCGCAGTGGATGCGGAGTGTTGCTCGTTCAGTACCGAGAGGCAAGGAAAGCAAGTACCATGGTTCGCTCCTCCCCACAGAAGGAAAGGTACGACCCCTGAAACGGCGCTAAAGTGTGTTTCTGCGTGGCCAGCGGCAGGTTAGTGGCCAGCGGGTGGGCACCGCTAGGCAGGAAGGGGAACCTCCATCGTAGTCACCTATCAGTCGCCTACGACACCGACTTCCAACCACCCATCAACTAATAACTACATGATAATACTTGACTACATACATGCGTACTCCGTCTATACACCACAGATAGGATCCGAGTCATTGTACAAGTACAGATTACATACGAGTAGTAACGCAGCGGGACACTATTGCCCATGTGATGGAGTAATACAGCCACCACGCAGCCATTATCATGTATCAAGTGTTCTAACAACATTGTGGTGATGGGCATGTTCCCAGTTTTTTTTTCTTTTCTTGTCTCTCTTCTTTTCTAGTTCGGGTGCGAGCAGTACATATAGTAGTGATGCTAGTAATAGTAGGTAGATGTCCAAATCACTGAAATAGAACACATACCCCTGCCATCCCCCCTGCTCCTCCTCCCCCCCCCTGTCAGTCACCTACAAGCGTCTCGGTCCCTCCCTTCAGACATCGTCGTAGACTTCATTCCTTACGAGTGTCCCGTCCCTCGCCAGCCACAACCATTCACTTCTTACAACAACAAAGGCATTGCTGGTCGACCTTTTCTTTTTCACATCCTCTCTCTGTGTTTTTTTTCCTCTCTTCTGTTTGTGTGAGGGGCGGAACAAGATATCCTCAGATGGCTGGTCTGTGATATACATATTCTATCTGTCTTCTATATCATTGGGGGCATTCTATATCCTCCATTCACTTCTCACAAGTCTTGTATAAAGACTTTGCTTTTTGATTTTTTTTTCTTTCTTTTTCTTCTCATCGTGTCAGGGTCAAGACTCTTCTTCTGCTCTTTCATATTTATCCTTGCAAAAGACTACCTTGTCAAGATCACAATGTTCTCCCTTCGATCTTTGATCGTCCTGTCTCTCGCAACGTCATCCACATTGGCTTCCCCCCCACGTCCCACACGATCCCTCCCTATCGACGGAACCGACCGTCCGTCATCGACACTACACATCGCCACGGACAATGGGGGTCACACCCTGCACAGGCAAGAAGACGCCGACGACATCCCCGGGACGTTATCCCTCCCCGTCATCCACATGCCCAGATCCGGTCTCCTCCGTCGGGATGTCGAGATGCAGCTCGAGAACCGCTCGGACATAGCCTACTACACACAGAGTAAGCCTTTCTGAGCTCTCCCACCTTACCTCTATATATGTCTAGACACGCACATGACCACTGCTAACACCATAGACACGCAGTCTTCCTCGGCACCCCTCCCCAACCAGTTTACGTGCAACTAGACACGGGCTCCTTCGAGCTCTGGGTCAACCCTGACTGCTCGACGCTCACGTCGTCGGCGGACAGGGCCTTCTGCGAGGGAGCAGGTCACTACACGCCGTCGGACTCGTCGACATCTCGCGACGCCGGCACCTCCAACACGCTGACGTACGGCATCGGCAGCGCCAACATAAGCTACTACGTCGACAGCATCGGCCTGGCCAAGGAGGCCACCTCTTCCAACAAGCTGAAGCAGGCCAAGTTCGGCGTGGCCGACGCCGGCGGCACCGAGGACCAATTCGCCGGCGTCTTGGGCCTGGGTTACGGCGAGGACCGCGATGACAACCTCGTCGAGCTGATGGCCAAGCAGGGCCTGATCGACGCCAAGGCCTTCTCCGTGGCCCTGGGGTCCAGGGACGAGGGCGGAGGCGTTCTCGTCCTCGGCGGCGTCGACACGGCCAAGTTCGACGGCGAACTCGTCCAGCTCCCCATCGTACCCGCCGACCAGTCCCCGGACGGCATGTCGCGGTACTGGGTCGCCATGCAGTCCATCTCGTACGCCGCCAACGCATCCGCCCCCAACGCGGCGTCGGCCCTCAAGTCACGCACCTGGAACGGCACCGACTTCCCCATCTTCCTCGACACGGGGTCCACAATGACGCTCCTGCCCACCGACGTCGCCGACGCCATGGCCGCCGACCTCGGCTCCGAGGGCTCCGACACCTCAGGTTTCTACCCCGTTGACTGCGCCATCCTCGACAGCGACGGATACCTCGACTTTGAATTCGACGGCCTCACCGTCCGCGTGCCCCTCGCTGAAATGGTCCGCTCATTCAACTCCGGCGCCGATCAGACTTGCTATCTGGGCTTCTCACCTAGCGATAACTTTGCCCTGCTGGGTGACAGCTTTCTTCGCTCGGCATACGGTTAGTTTCTCTCGTCTTATTCTATCTTATTTTTCATCACCCCCCTTCGTATCTGCTCTTACCTCTGTCCGTTTCTTTTTCATCTCTCTCAGAATCGAGCACTGACCCCATCAAAGTCGTCTTCGACCTTGACTCCGACTCCGTCTTCATGGCCCAATATGACAACTGCGGATCCGACGTCTCCAAAATCTCTTCCACCTCTGACCTCAAGGACCTCAAGGGCTCGTGCGGCAGCGGCGACCTATACGATTCCCTCTCGTCGTCATCATCGTCGCCGTCTTCTCCTTCCCCCTCGTCTGCGATATCCACCGCCACCGCCTCTGCCAAGGTCACCGACGCTGCTGCTTCCTCTGCCGAGTCAGCCTCTGCCGAGACCACTGCCAGCCCTACCGCCGCCATCAACACCCACCAGACTCCTGTCACGTCTGTGACTAAGCCTGGGAGCACCGCTGCCAGCAGTAGCAGTGCCCTGGCGGAAAATGACGGCTCTGGCTCGTCTGGCGGGACCAGTCCTGCTGGACGGGTGGAGGGTTGTTTCTGGGCTGTCGTTGTGTTGGCTGGTTTTGTTGTCGTCTCATTGACAATATTTTGATCTTCTCTTCTTTTTCTTCTCTCCCTTTCTTCCTCTTTCTCTATCCCTGTTTTCTCCCCTTCTTTCCTCCTTCCTCGCTCCCTCTTTCTTTCACTGTCCTTTTCTTTTTCTCCCTCTTTTCACCTCTCTCTTTTCTCTTTTCTTTTCCCCTTCGATGACGGGTTTTGGCGACTGGCTTCTATTTTGGGTACATGGATGGGATACTTATTGACGATACTCCTTTTTACGTCACGACACTCTTTACGACACGACTGTATAGATTTATATACTTACAATAGACATGGATATATATTTACAACGCTGTATAGCACGTGAGATGTGGACAAGTTGAAACGTGATGCCAGACGTGTAGTTTCACAGCATGTGAGATGTAAACGGAGTAAAATGTCATGTTACATCTGCATCTCCGACATAGCCCAAACGTAGTAGTACACAAGACATGGACAGAATGAAACAATGACGCTTAGGTATAACGTGCTTAAAATGTATAGATACATTGATGCAATTTATATACTGGACAGATATGCTGGACGGAATGAAAAGGAAGAAGAAGAAGAAAAGCGTCCCACACAGCAGGATCATTCCTTAAATCTCCTTGAGCCAGGTAGGACCGGCGTCGGGTCCACCGTAGACAGGCATTGGGATGGTGGCAACAGGTTCATCGCTGAGCGACCCGTCCTTCTTGACGGAAAAGGCCGTGATGGCGTTGGCGCCATTCTGGTTAGCGACGAAGAGGAAGTTGCCCTTGGCGGCGAGGCTGAACATGCGAGGCTGGATGCCGCCGATGGGGGTCTGATCCTGGATGGAGATGCTGTCATTTCTGTGGATGGAAAAGCGGGCAATGTTGTCGGCCGCGGCGCCGGTGAGGCGGTTGGACACGTAGACGGTCTTCTGGTCGGCGGAGAGGACGACCTCTGCGGATGCAGCGCCGTCAGGCACGGCGTCGACAAACGACTTGGTGGACTGGACCTCGGTGAAGGTGACGTCGGCGTCGGCGCCGTAGGAGACCGAGTAGACCAGGACGTCGTTGGACAGCTCGCAGTTGACGACGTAGTTGGCCGACCGGCCGGGGTGGTAGTCGTAGAAGGCGCCGTGGCGGGGGCCGCAGCCGGGAGGGGTGGAGGCGGCGACGCGATGGTCCCACGAGTCGCCGGCCGAGTCGATGAGAAGGAGCTCGTCGGTGCCCAGGTCGTTGACGACAAAGTACCGGCCCGTCGGGTCGAGGACGGTCTGGTGAGGGTGTGCCTGGTCCTGGTTGGGCTTGAAGGGACCCAGCTCGCCCGTGGACACGATCGTCTTGATCAGCCTGAGCTCCTTCTCGTCCTCGATGTCCCAGATGTCCACGGTGCCGGCACCGTAGGCCGCGCTGACCATGCGCGTCTTGTCCGGGTTGAACTCCAGGTGCACGGCGCCCGGGGAGCCCGTGCCCACGGCCACCGGGTCCGAGAGCTTGGCCACGCCGCCCCCGACGTGCGACAGGTGGAACAGACGCATGTCCGTGCCCGCCTCGTCGACGGCGTACACCTTGTTAGGAGCCACGTACTCGATCCAGCTGGGGTTTCCCGGCACGCTAGCATTGAGCGTTGTAGTGAAGCTGCTGCCGTCAAACGTGTACAGGTTGATGAAGCCGGGGGCGGACGTCAAGATCTGTGACGACGTTGTCGCGTTGTGCACGTGGACGGGGAAGCGGCTGCCGAGCTGGCTTGCGGCAGAGGCCGCCACGGCTGTACGCTTGTAAGGGATTCTCATGGTGACGACGTGTAAGAATGTGTGCAGTGTGTATAGTGCGTGTGTGATACGGAAAGGAGAAGTGCGAGACAGTGCAACGACCTGGGAAGAGAAAGAGAAGGAGAGTATTCAGGGGGGGGGGGGGAATCGACCAAGTTCAAATAAGGGACCGATCTTCCCGGGCGTCTACGACTTACTCTTTCCTCATAAATGACTGAGAGGGGGGCGCCTACGACTACCTCTTTCATCGTGACCGAGAGGGGGGCGCCTAATTGTTACTGCGGAGAACAGGAGCAGTATCTGTCATGGATAGATCAGGTACCAGCAGAAAAGGCGGGTAGACGGGAACGTTGAAGCACCCACACAATCCTGTCATTGGCAGCCGGTGCGCTGAATACATGTACTCGTACAGGTATGGACCGTGGTTAGCATGGAATCATGGTTGCTACGAGATCCTGCCGGCATGGGCCCGACCCCATAGTGCAGTAGCTCTGCAGTAGTAGTAATATTGCTCCATTAGCTCCCCGAGAGGAGGAGGAGGTGTGACCCTGTCAGGGACATGGACATGGTGGCTTGTGCCGTTTCACTGTTTCGCTAGCTCGACGGCACCTCTGAAAGGAAGCTGTTTGTTTGTTCGGTGTACAGATCTGTACATACGTGTGTACTCGTAGTATATGTACGGCACGCCACTGCGCCTTGATGTCTCCCCCGGGCATGTATGTATTCGATGTGGAGAAGGATGGTCAAGGTAAAACGGTATGATTTGGCGTCCCGCTTCTCCGGGCCGACACTCACCCTGGTGGGGGAGGAGGGAGCTAGATGAGCTAAACGAGGCATATATCATGTCGTTCAAGCCGGGCATGGAGCATAATCGCTCAAGCACTCTGCGCTGCAATGTTCGCCTGTGGAGTACTGAAGTAATGATGCTCGTGATGGCACAGATGAGGGCGCGAGAATTGAGACGATGGCGTCGCCGGTGTCGGCGAAGAGGAGGAGGAGGAGGTTGATGGATGGTGATTTCGAGGCAAGGGTGACTGACGAGAACCATGTGGAGGCATTTAGACTCTTGAACTCTTACTCGTACTGTAGTAAACAATATGGTGGGTGGGTCGAGAGCTGCCCCAAGTACCGACGATCAGGATCAGGGGAGACAGGGAGAGTTGGCCCCTTTGGGTGGTGGCAGGGGGAGGGAGAGGGGGAGGGGGGGAAGGGGGAGGAGGCTGGCCAGTCAATAAACTGGGGCAGGCCCTGGACGAAAAGGAGAGGGAAGAGGGAGTGCAGAAGTATGTGGCTGACGGAGATTGCCTCGATGGTAAGAGCCAAGACTGACAGGTATCGATACAGGAAGCATCTTTGAGATGAAAACCGTACGATTCTGACTGTGTCCGTCTGACTGCGATGTTCTCTTCCAACCGGTGTCGTAATCTCCACGTTACTACATATACACCCGATCTCTTCTTGCGTGGAATGTAACATGTGACGTCGTCATGGACGCAGCTTCCTGTTTCCTCCAAATCTAGTCGCGTCCGCTAATCTGAGTAATAATGAATGATCCGCCGCACCTCCAAGAGAAGAAGGATGTCATACTCCAACCTCCATCCTCCAAGTAATACTCTTTTTCTCGTGAACATGCCTACCGTCGTTTACGCGCGCACCTCTTGAATGCTTGGCACGTAACTCGCACAGCACTCTCAAGAGGGTCGTTATCGGAGCTACGGACACTGCGCAAGTAGAGCGGGATTTGAACGACCATCGATCCCGACCACAGATCTTGATCGTTGCTTGCCCGGAGAGATTCTGAACGTTTCGCCTTGATCTATTCGGATCCGGAATCGGTAATTGGTCGACTTGGTCCGAAGCCTGCAACCCCATCTCCTAGCAACTCCCGTCTTCGATCAGCTTGTTCCCTGCATCTCGAAGACCCCATCAAACTCTCAGGGTGCAGCTATGAAATCGACCGTCCTTTAAATAACAATTGAAGCTCATCAACGAAGCTCACCGACCCATATTCACGATGCGATCGACCTCGGATCAGACAGCATCTCTTCTCATTGCACAAGATGGTCTCGGTCCAGGCTGAGCTCAGCGACCTTCGTGAGTAGACTGGACGGAAAAGCAAGCGACGAAGGGTGAAGAAGACACGTCTACAGGATGGGGCATCGCTTAAGCACACAGGATGCCGATGATTTAGGCACTACGGCTGAGATCGGATACCTCTAGCAAATAAAGACAGCAATGTAGACGAACTAATGAGTTGGAAGATAAATATGAAAACGCATATAAACATCCTCTTCCTAGGAAGCAAGAAAGGTAGAAGATGCAGGAAGAGAAAAGAAGAAAAGAAGCTTCCCAGATCCTACAAAAAAAAATAAGAAGAACCCAATATGCCGTGTCGTGCTACTCTGACCATTTGTGGGGGGGAAAAACTCAAAAGGAGTGGTATTTATAAAGGAAACCCCGAAACATTATATTAAACAAGGAAAAACACACACAAAGTTCACCCGTCACAGCCAGTACAAGGCACACCCGGCAATAACCATTGCCAGAGCACTAGCACTGGACTTGCCGCCTCCGCTGTTGCCATCGCCCGAGTCGTCGCTTAGACCCTGGTCGAACTTGCTAGAGTCGTATCCGGCGGGAGCCTCGCTGGTACCGGAGTCGCTGCTGCCGCTGTTGTCGTCACTGCTGCCACTGTCGTCGTCGTCGTCGTCGTCAGAGGACCCGGCGTTGCCGGTGGAGCCCCCGGGGACGGATTTCAGGTCGTCGTCGCCGCTCTTCTTTCCCTTGTCCATGTCCAGGCCTGTGGCGGACATGGAACCCAGGATGGTGGATTTGTCACCGTCGACGACGGTCTTGTTGGTGCCGGCCTCGTCATTGTAGGTGTACGACTTGCCCGAGTTGGTGCCCAGGCCGTTCTTGCCGTCGTAGCACTCGATTGAGACGGACTCGAGCGTGGCGTAGTAGTAACCCGGGTCCTTCATGTCGGCGGCGTTGTCCCAGTCGATCTCGCCGCCTGCCCAGTCGATGGTGCCCTTTGCGTTGGAGGCGAGGCCGCCGGGCCATAGCGAGAGCTGCACGCGCGCCGGCGTCTGCGGATAGTCCCAGCGCTGGGCCGTTTCGTTCCACGTATCGACCCGCTTGATGGTGCGGCCCACCTCGCCGTCCACCAGCCACTCGATCTGGTCCGGGGTCCAGCGCACCTCGTAGTCGTGGAAGTTGGCGAACGAGTCCGACACCGTGATGTTGGCCGAGTTCTCGTAGTCGAGGTATCCCAGGTTGTAGTAGTTGGTCTGTACCGTCTCCAAGTCCACGCCGATCCACTCGAAGTCGATCTCGTCCTGGACGTCGGAGAACAGGATGAAGGCCGTCACCACGCCGCGACCCCGGCTCGTCTTGAGCCGCGCCTTGGCGTTGCCGTACCACATGTACACCGTCGACGACAGCACCGTCCCCACGCTGTTCTTGGCCATCGTCAGCAGCACGTTGTCCCCGTGGAGCGCCGGCTCGCCAGAGGCCACCCAGTCCGCCTTGGACGGATCCCCCAGGTACTTGTTGATGCTCTGGATGTTCTCGTCCGTGTCGAACTTGAGCTCCCTGTCCTCGCACACCGGCTCCGGCGCGCAAGCGTCCAGCGAGAAGGACGATCGCGGGTTGCATCCCCCCAGGCAGTACGCTCCCACGCCGCATTCGCCGTATTGCGAGCAGCACGGCGTCTCCTTGGGACACTTGGAGTCGACGTCGCACTTGGCTGCCAGGACACTCGTCGTGCCCACGAGGGCTGCCAAAGCGAGAGATTTCCACATTGTGCGTTGTTTTCCACTATGTATCTCTATTCCTTTCGTTGTTGTATCAAGTAGCAGTGTTTTTTCTTCGGCCGTTGGTATTATGGCGATGGCTGGTTTTTCTTCCGTCGTCAATATATCGGTCGAACACGGGAGAGCGTCCAAGGAAATGAAAGAAAAAAAAAAGGAGCTGTCCGAGACAGGAGCTGTTTTTTGTCTGACAGTCGTGTCTCTCTCTTTGCTAGGGAGGATGGAAAAGGCAAGCGACTGTGTTTCCCCTCCCCCTTTCTTTGTTTTGTTTTTTTTTCTGATGTACTTCAAAAAAAATTGAAGAAAACGAATGTCTTTCTGTCTATGCAACGAGCGACATACGCAACGGAAACAAAAAGCAACGCAAGAAGGAAGAGAGAAGATTGAACAGTTTCTCCTAATCACCTCAACGAGAGAAAGGTGGGAGAAAGCCTAGGAAGAGAAAAGAAAAGAGAGAGGTAAAAAAGGGCAGGGGTGTAAGGCGAACGACAAGTGGGAGTGATGATGAGGGGACGCAAAATGGGGCCATCACCCACACATGCACACACAATGCACACACACACCATCTCCCGCATAATACGGAAAGCCAACTCGTAATGACGGGGGAAACAGGCTCTTAGCCTCTAGTTACGGTACGAGTACGAGTGAAAGAACTGCTGCTACTATATCTGGGCAAAGTGCTAATAGCACTTTGGGCCTTCAAGGCTCTATAGCAAGCTACTTAGTGCACGGGGGGAAAGTGGGGATTAGTCTGGACACGAGGTCACGGGGTTTACGCGCTCGGATCACGGTTGGTAGTTATATTTGTCGATATCTGACCCTTAATACTTAACATATATATACTATTGTAATGATTCTTCGATGGCAAGTGGTTGTACTCTTGCTCTGTACAGATTACAGATTACTCCGTAACGTAATCCGTGAATGTTCAATCGTAGTACTCTCAGTGCATCGACCTAACAAGTATCGATACTACTAGTAATGTTAGTAGTATTACTCCATGAAAAATCACTCGACTACCCTCGTATTACCGCTACCACGCCGTCTGCATACACACGACCGGTCGCGACAGTCACGTAATATTATATTCGTGCGTCGCATCCCACCCGTATGGCAGTCGTTGACAGGAAAACACATCCACTCCGGATGTATATTACCGCTCGGGAGAAATAAGACGGGTACGAGATACTGCTATACGTTTTATAGACCATCGTACGCCTCGCGTCATACAAGCAGCAGCCACGCCATGCTAGGAGCAAAGAATACATCATATATACAACCTTACATGTATTCTCAAGCAGCGCGGTACCTTTTCTCGAGCAGACAATGTTTTTTTTTTTTTGTGAAACAACGGACAGGAAAAAAAGAGGATCTGTGTGCACGACAGCACAGGTATCCCACAAGCAACAAATTCCCTTCCTACCCTTCCTTTCCTTTCAAGGCAGAGAGCAAGTAATAAAGAAACAGAGAAGGATAACCAAAATAGATAAAAACCCTTACCAATTGACCCAATTTCAACACACGCCCAAGGAATCACAAGAGACTTCCGGTAGAAAAATAAACACACAAAGACCAGCAGCAACCGATAGTACCAGTGAAATGATGAGAAGAAACAAGAAAGCAAACAAAAAAATCCAATAGGATAAAACGAAACCCCAACATGTCTGTCATGGTTCGGCCATTAAAAGTTGTCGTCCAGGCTGTCGGCCCATAAGAGAGCAGTCTACTCCCCGCCCAGGCTTGTCGTCCAAGACGTCGAACAGGCTTGCGCGATTGACCGAAGCTAGTCCCAAGAGGGGAATAGCAGCCAAGGCTCGTGTGTGTGTGTGCGCGTTAAAAATCCTCCAGAAAATCTGTAGCATCGACCTATCCAAACGAGGCAAATAATATCCAAAAAAAAAAAAAAATTGGAAGAGGCCTAGCAACAGGTTAGGAGGAGGGATATACCCATTCCCCGACATCTTCTCCGACCCTCGCGGAGTTGGCGACTGGCGCATCTCGCAGGGAAGACAACAGCTAGATCTTGATTCTACCGGGCCTTGTTGCTTCCAAAGAGATCTAATTGCACCGTCAGTGGGCTAGACGTCCACGACCAATGTCCAACGGTTCGGTCATACCGGGAAAATGCTCCTTGGCATATTGCTCGCATGCCTGTTCAATCCCACGTGTTAGCCGACTTGTCCACATCACGTGCCTCGGCGCGTTTGGTGGCGTAGCGTGGCGACAGCATGTGCTCTGGGGCGGCATGTGTATGCTCCAGACGGCGACAGTATGCCTGTGCTCAGAGCAATACTCCTGGGAGATGACGAGTGGGGGTTTCGAATTTCTAGTGCAACACATACCTTGGCCGGCTTGCCAACTTTCTGACCAATCACTTTCCATTTGTTGTTTTCATAATCCTTAATAGCATTCATGAGGGCCTGGCTCTGCAGCACATGTCAGATCAACGTTTCATAGGGAGGGAGGGGAGCCATGGGACCGAGATGGCCACCACGACAACAAGCAGAGAGAGGGAAGAAAGGCCCCCAATCGAGGGGGCAGTGGGGGGCTAACCTCATCTTCGGCGAATTCGGCGTAGTGCATGTCCTGTTTCCACGTCAGTCTCGCGCACACGCACGTCGGGTCACGAAGAGTGTACCAACCTTGTACCAGTGCTTCTTCACGGAGCCTTCAGTTCGAGCGGGAAATGTCTGTCAAGTGAGGAAGATGAGTACACGTTAGCCAATGAACATCTCCTTCTGCTGTAGAAGAGGTCATGGGGTATGGGCAGGTGTTCCCCCAACCTTGGCAATCTCAGCCCAACTGTTCCCAGCGTCGCGCATCTGCTTAAGGCGGAGCTCCTCCTGGGGCGTCCAGGGAGTGTTTGTGCGACTCTTCTTGGCCGGAGGCTGCGACGTCGGCGTACCAGTCACGTCACCGACAGCGGTCTGAGGCTGGGGTGGTGTGGCCTGGGCCTGCTGAGCCTGCGGAGGCTGCGGTGCCTGGTGCTGCGGCTGAGGGGCTCCGGGCTGGGGGGCTCCAGGCGCCTGCGCTGAGGGCTGGCCGTGGACCGGAGTACCGGGAGCAGGGGGGCCGCCGGCGGCGACGGGCGGTTGAGCGGCTGCTGCAGAACCGGGGGGTCCGCGTTTACGCGGCCTGGGAGGCTGGGCAGGCGTCTGGGTGGGCGTGGGCTGCTGGGACGGAGGGCCGGTTGGCTGCTGAGGCACGTTCATGGGAGGCTGGACGGGGGCCGGGTGGTGCTGCTGCTGAGGCGTCATGTTTGGCTGTGGTGCCGGCGGGTAGGAGAACTCCATGCGCTGGTCCCCGCGGTGGGCCATGTCGGCCTGGTAGGGATGCTGATGTCTATGTTTTCAAGGTCGCGTGTGGTTAGCGAGGAAGTCAATGACGACTGGTAATGACGGTAGAGACATCGGGCATGCGCCAGCCCCGATACATGACTAAATGGTAAAAAGAGTGAGAGGGAAGAGAAGAGGGAGAAGGAGAAGGGAAGGGAAGAAGGACGGGTTCCCAAGCGGCAAAGGACGACGCCTCGGATCGAGCCAACGGTGTGTGAGAGGGGTGACGACTCCAAGGCAACACAGGGCAAAAGGCAGTCGGCAGCAGGGAAAGGTAGGCAATGAACAGACGCAGCAGCTACTGCCAGCGTCCTTGACAGGCGGAGCGGATACGTGTACAGCAGGACAGGTGCGAGGTGTGCCCAAGCCGCAACACCGCTAGGCGACGATGGTGGTGATACACGGGTGGCTCGTCATTGCGGTTTGCCGAGGGCGACGACGCAAAAGTCAAGGCGCGGGCGCGAGAGGCCCAGGCTTGGGCGGTAGCAAGGCCAGCTCGCTAAGGGTATTGAGGTGGATGGGAGAGGGGGTTAAGGGGAGAAAGTGCGACAGCTTCGAAGATAGGGATGCATAGACAGGAATAACAAAGGACAATATAGCGACAAGAGGGACGATGCGATGGGTGTTTATGAGGTACGTTGTCGTGACTTTGGGGAACAGGTGACGGTGGGTGGGCTGGCAGCCCAAGGTACCGGGGACAAAAAGAACAAGTATCGTCGGTACTCACTGCATGTCATTGCTCTGGTGTGTGGAGTTTGCGTAGACGTAGTCCGGCACGGGGCCGACATGCCACTGCTGCATCTTGGCTGCGAGTCGCGGAGCGAAGGTTGATGGATAGATGGGAGGAAAGGTTCAAGAGAAGTTGGCGAAGGGAAGGCGACGGGGGAGGAGGACGAGAGAGAGAAGGAGAGGCGCGTTTTTGGAAGAGCAAATTTGCGTGACGCGCGCGATTGATGCTTGTTGACAGAGGGGAGAATGGGAAGGGAACAAGACTGGACGGGTGGCGGAGGGTGACGGGGACAAGACACAAGGGCTGTGCAAAGAACTTTGGGACCTTGGCCGACCTGGAAAAAAAATGAAAAAAGAGGTGGGAAAAATGGAAAAATTGATGGTGCGCCACAGTTAGCCACCGTCACCCGGGTACATTCGCCAACCAACCCGACGTTGATTACTTGTATTCGTACTCGTTAATACTGCGCAGGTGGTGAACTACGCTGTACTCCGTGCAGTACTTGTAATACCGCCAAAGTACTCGTAATACTGCTACTATTAGTACAGATTGGAAGAAAAAAGCACCTGAACAGCGCGCGCTTGACCGACCTCCGCTGAGCCGCTCTACACGCTTCTGGTATAGCGCCAATGACGGAGAAGCCACTGAAGCCTCTGGACTTGCGCACAGCCTACAGAATATTGCAAGCCGCCCAGCACGCCCAGCCAGTCCACCCAGCCTCCTCCAAAAAGGGATCCACTTGCCGGGCCTAGGCCAATCTGCCACTGCCACTAAGGCTTTTGTGGCCGGATTGCACCGGGAAGGTGCGAGAGAGGAGGGAGACAAAGGAAAGGAGAGGGAATCACCCTGGCTCTAGGTACCTCTTTCTCTCCCACTTTCTCTCACTCTCCGTCCCTCGCTCTCTGCTATCCCTCGGTCTCTCTCCTGTCCCTCGGTCTCTCTCCTGTCCTTCGGTCTCTCTCCTGTCCTTCGGTCTCTCTCTCTCTCCGATGGGGATGAGGCTCTATTATCCCCTACTACTGCTGCACCCAATCCACCACCATGTGTCTTATCTGTCCGTCTGTTTCTACCTATGACCATTGACTACGGATTACAGTCTACGGGTCTATCAGGATTTGCTAATGATGACTTGGTGCATTGAGGGCAAATGATGAGACTGAAATAGGGACCCGCCGATCGACTCTTGGTAATAATGATCGGTAATAATCATGCCCAAAAGATCCCTAAAGTTCTGTAATGCTACGCGAGCCGCCACTCTCACCCACCTGCGATCGTGCGCCTACAGGTACATCTGCCAATACAATCAACGCACAGTACAATGCTCGTAAGGATAGGAGATGTACGGAGGTGAAGCCCATCATCAGTACACGACAGCTGGGGAGAAGAGAGTCCATACGGACTAGACAGACTACTGGTACTGAGCAATAAATTTAAGACTACGCGTACGGAGTAAACTTGGTTGTGGCAATATTACTCGTACACTGTACGTATTGTTAGTCGTCGGGGAAATGAATGATCCAAACGAATTGGGCATCGTGCCCTGTGCCCTGAGAATGGCACGAGACCAGTTGTGGCTTGTCGGTCATTATGCGCGTGGCAGGCCATGTTCAAAATCTCCCAACGACTCAGTTGAGGAGCCGACGCCAATTAATCCTGATATCGAGTATCAATGTAGGAGACGATTTTTCTTTCCTCGTACCTGCGATGGGGATAAAGTAGTGTTGAGGTTGATGTTGTTGAGATCGATGTAAATGCGCACCCATTGCCATCATGTTTTTCACATGCCAATCCGTCGCAACACAGATCGAAATGTCGTGACCGCGGTGAGCAATAAAGGGGTGGCGTGTTGTGCGCGGCCGTGCTCGGGTCCAAATAGAGCAGGGGGGGGTGGAAAAGGGGGGAGAGAGAGAGTAGAGGGAGGGAAGACGACGATGTTCCATGTTCTCTTCTTTTGGCGTCGTTGTCCATGGTGTTTACGTCGTAAGAAGCTCTGCAACGTCTACAGAAGTAGTACAGCACTCCATCTAGGGAAAGTGCCTGTTGTTGAGGGCCAAAGACCTTTCTCGTGTTTTCCTTGTTTCCCTGTACCTCGGACCAAAGTCACTCGGGTGGGCGAGCCAAGTTCCTCTCCCCCCCGCGCACGCGATGGGAGGGGCAGGGAAGCGGGGGAGAGTGGGTAGAGTAGTATTGTTTAGGCGATGCTTGTGCCAGATGATGGTTGAGCGTGGATACTGCCATGGGACCTAGAGTAAGGTACGAGTAGTAGTGGTCCGCCGCAGTCTCTCGTACGAAATGCTGTGCGTCGTACAGATTACTCTCGCGAGTAGCTTCCTCGTACTCTTTGCCCGTACATGTACAACGCACCGAGGTCAGGTGTGCATGATGGTGAATTGGCACTGTCTCTGACGCCTGATACTGCGTGAATATGTACAGTGTGAATGGGCTGTGGCCATCCGCACCTGACCTCGGCGCCGTACTGTCAAGTTTCGACCAAGGACGCGTTCGATATCCCAACCCGGTACTATGGCGCCCAGCAGTACTCTGCCATGCTTGAAAAGGTATGTGGTAGCGCTGATGGATGGACGTCTCCTTGATACGTAAATGGCTTCTCTTGTACCTTCCTCCAAGACAGACGTCCGTCGTCTGTTGTCTTCGGTGGTACCTTGTGAATACGAAGCGTACAGCTGTACCGTGCTCCACCTCCCACATGGGCAAGTATGAATACATGGGCCTCAAGTCTATGGTTCCTACTCGTACAATACCGAGAGTAGTCGTACTAGGAACTACCACTGCTACGTATACTAACGGCAGTGTACTAATAATGTCATTGTATTACCATGACGGACCGAGTACTACAAGCTACGAGACTAACAGCTGTCCAAGCCGTAAGGCTGATAGGGCTATCATGAATGATCCTTCCCAAGGCCCAAGTTGCAACTGCCGGATATCAAGGAATGGTGGGACTCTACTTAGTAAAAATGTGCCATTGACGTATGCACGCGAAGATATGCTGATGTTCATATATTTCCCAACTTACTCATGGAGCAGAAAATCACCCACGTTATTGCCGCAGTAATGTTATCACCACACTGAAAACACCATGACGACGTTGATTACGTACTCGACCTCTTATCTACAACAGGTTAATCCGTGGGTGATGTGTCTATATACTACTAGTCATTTGATGATAATATTGAGCACGTAGTTTGGTTGCATGTGCCTGTTGTATGCTAGGAAGCTGGGACAATTGCTGTAGAAAATCCAACCGGTAGACGTAGGGTAAAAGAATAGTGACAAACAGGGTTGCCTCCACAATTTGGCATCAACGGTTTACGACCATGTAGGACTGTTCCTGCGTGTTTTTTTTTTTTTTTTTTTTTTTTTTTTAAGGCATCGAGCATCATTAGTCATCAACCGTGATAACTTTTCTCCGTTGATATGATCATTACGACGCATCTTGCCAACCGGAAGCTCGAATGGCTCTGTATTAGGGGGCCTGGTAGTATTATTATGTGCTACCGTTTAGTGTCGGCACCGCGGTTTCTGTCCGAGACGATTCCGTCGAAAACGAGGCAAACATTGTCTGAGACACGACACAGCCCCGTGATCCGAAGAAGAAAATAAGGGACGAACGGAAACGAGAAAACAGTGAACACATACTACACACGCACACAAAACTTAAACTATAGGAACTTTTTTCTTATATTTTCCTTTTTTTTTTTTAGAAAGGTTGCAGCAGCCTCAACCAATAGAGCCTCCACTTCCCGAAGAAAAAAACAAAGACAAAGAACTGCCGAACTCCAAGACGGCACGTGACCTTCACCAAAGTGCAGCGGGAGCCGTCTCCTCCCCTCCTATGGACCATCGTTATCCCGTCTAGTGTACAGATATTACGGGGTCGCGGAGCGCGGCTACTCCGGTATAAAAACTGATTGGAACCGACAGAAGCATGGGTGTCCTCGACGCCGGGAGGAGTTGGAGCAAATTGAACGGTGAGTGAGGGGTTGACCCTGGGGAGCTCCATGGCAAAGAGGAAAAAAAAAAGGGTTGAAAACATCTACGACGAGGGGGGATAGACCCAGGGCCGCTTGCCTCTCGTCTCCCCTATGAGCCCTTTTCTGAGCAGCTGCCAGTGAGCTCTATTTCTTTCTCCCTCACCAGAGTCTCTACCAAGGAACCAGGTGGCTGAGACCAGGATGAAATCGAGCCCAGGCGCTACCTGGTTTCATCGGGGGTGATTCTGTTGCATTGGGGACAGGGGTCAGATAATCTCTGCGACTCTATGACCGGGGGCTCTTCCTTTTTTCCTTCTCATCGTTCGAGTCTACGCAACGTTGGCCGCACTGCAGTCGAGGAAGGTCGGGGAGGGACTCAACTCACTTTGGCAACAATACAACCGCCGTACCTGTCAATATAGAGGATCAAGCAGCCGCCTATAGGAGAAGAAGCCAGAATTTAGGATGTCTGCACCTTGGAGACAAGCTCAGCAACGGCGACAGACGGTCGGTCAGTTGGAAGTGTCTCACCATCCCTCGAGCCCCACAGCAGCCGCGCCCACTGCGACCCTGACGATAGTCTAATACGCGTGTTTCCCGTATTCGAAACTGTATTGACAAGCAGATGATAGTGCAGAAGACCGGCAAAGGCTCTCAAAGGCCCCAGGGTCAGCATCTGTCAGGACTTGGCATTGCTTCTCCCACCCCTCTCTCTCAACGTTCTCGACGTCATTCCCCGAATCCACCCCGTCGCCGGCCAACCAGGATACGGGGAGAAGCGACTTGTTCGTTTTGTGTCCTGGACCTGACGCAGGTGGCTGCAGCTATGGAGTAATAAGGGCAAGGCGCGAACAACTCCAGTCTCCAAGGACTGAAGCCTCAAGGAGGGGGGCATCAGAAGAATACTCGTATTTCGTTGTCCGTGCTAGACTAGATTTCGCCGGGGTATAGTGATGGCGTCAATAATACCAGGCAAAAGCCAAGACTTGACCACCAGAAATGTCCATCATATCACCGTTAATGAAAGACGCCGCATCTTGATTTTACGGGGAACACACGGGCATATCTCGTATACTCGTATTGATATACATGGACTTATATATATATATATGCTCCGGGAGAGGTTGGGTAAAGAGATGAGAGAGGAGTCAAGAGCCATACCGCACTGAGTATTACTCATAAGCATAGCATTATTCCATGGCGACATAGTGATATATTCAGGTACACATTACACAGCTACTCCGTAAACATCACCATGATGACACTCGCATGTACGGAATGCTCTGCAACCGTCAAACATGAGGGAGAGAGAGGGGGGGGGAGTATAGCATCTTGGAGGGGGACCTGAGAAACCGACTTGTGGCATCGGAAACCTCGTTCGTTTCTCGAACGGACGAAAAATAAGAAGAAAAAAAGAGGACCTCTTATCAAGAGAGAGAGGGAGAGAGAGAGAGAGAGAGAGAGAGAGAGAGAGAGAGGGTTCAATTTTTCGCACACAAGGGCCCTTGATCTGCCGTGATCAGCAATGCCAATTCAGGGTCAAGATCCCAAACACGGGACAGACTGTTGCCGAAGCTCGTTCTGTTTTGGGGACCACCCTACCTACTCGAAACGATACATGTAATGGTACTATTCTTATTTCTTTCCCTTCTTCTCTTTTCAACTCCACAAACGGAACCGAGAGTAGGTACTGGTAGAAGCAGAGCGAGAGATGAGCCCCATGGAATGCTGCAGGCAATGTTGCAAACCATGGAGCTAGGCCATACACCACCCCCCCCCCCCCCCCCCCCCCCCCCTCCCCCCCCGTCGTCCCCCCCTCGTCTCCCCCACACCCACTACTACGACACAATTACCGCCCTTAGCTTGTCAGATTACGGAGGTGTATGAGTAGAAGGGACCAAGGTGTTAGAAAAAAGTTCGTTTGGGGCGGCCGCTGCTGTTCTTTGCTAGATCTGAGACGAGATATAGCCCTGGGTATCTACATCAAAGTCAGGGGGGAGAGAGGGGAGAGAGGGGAGAGGGGAGACGGTTGTAAAACGTTCCAAAAGAGCCTTCGCCACAAGCATTGATTTTTTATATTTTTGAATTTTTTTTGTTTATCTATCCTTTTTCCCCTCCTTCTTTCTTGTCCAGAAGAATCATTTATATTCAGCATCAAGTTCCGGTTTCTTTTGCTTCATTTGCGTTCTAGAACTCCCTTGTGTGTCGTGTTGTGCGCTTCCCTTTCCCTTTTTCTTCTTTACTCGGTTTTTACTTCGTTCCTACAAAGACAGCTGGCTGTCATCGTTTCTTCATTTTTTATATTAATCATCTTCTCCTCCTATCCTTCCTGGTAACTACCAGCTATACGCGGCATATAATCTCGAGTTCGACACTCGTCATATTTTAGTGGTTAATCTCAAGAAGCTCGACATTTGGCCTGGTTGCCGGAGCATCTACACACACACACACACATCGACACTTTCTCAACAAACGTCAATCTCGACATATACTCTCCCGAAAGAAGTCATGGATCTGTCCCACGTCATGTCTTACCCCTCCCAGGAGGCTCTGGACCTCCGCAGGACTGGTCCTACCAGGCACCGCAAGTCGTTGTCCACAGGAGGAGGCAGGGCTTGGAGCCAAAGCGAGGTACGCTCACATCTTACACACACACACACACGCAAGACACATCAAATACTGACAACAAGAACAGGAGACATATCTTGTCGAGACCCGCCTCCAGAAGATGCCCTACAAGCATATCGCCGCCCGCCTGAACAAGACAGAGCTCGCATGCCGCCTCCATTACCACCAGATCTCTCACGGCGCCAACCGTCGCCGCCGCAACCTCTCCTTCTCAGCAGTGCAGTTCGACCACAGCAGCCGTGCCCCCAGCACCGACCGACTGAGCCCCGTCTCCCAGCGTGACGAGGCCCCGATGCCCATGGCCGTCTCCGTCTCGGCCGTCGACCCCCATTCCCCCCCTCGTCTCCCCAGCATCATGAGCGCCTCAAACTCCCCCCAGACCAACAAGACTCCCGCCATTCTACCCAAGCCCAACCCTGAAGCTTCAGTCCCTCCATCTTCCTATCGTGCCTACAGCGAGGGTATCCATGCTCAGCAGCAGCAGCAGGCTCAGCTGAAGCAGCATCAGCGTATGGTCCTCCCATCCATGGACGCACCCATGCTCAAGCTGGATACCGCACTGCTCCCCTCCGCCTCCACCCCGCCCTCTGCCTCCCACGACTCTACGCACGTCGACCTCATGCGTCTCCAGGCCGTGTACGAGGCCCATCGCAACACTTTCTGGGCCTCCATCGCCAGCGAGTACGGGTACAATGCTGCCCCGTCTACCCTCGAGCAGGCGTGGAAGTCGGGCCGCTGCTGCCCCCCGCCTCAGAACATGCACCACCATAGCAACACTGGCCCCCTCACTCCGTTCGGTAGCCCTATCGGTGACCACGGTCACGGAAGGTCCCAGTCCCAGGAGAGGGGTAGCCTGTCTTCTATCCTCGGTCCTGATGTGAGGTCTGCCAGGGATCCTTGGGACAGGGACATGATTCGCAAGATGGAGGTAATCTAAGTCTTGTTTCCCCTCAAACTTTTCTCTTGTTTGTTCTTTTGGGTCGTTATATTTGTGCTTTGGGCGGGTTTCTCCTTTCTTCTTCTCTTGTTACCCCCGAGGGATACAATGAATCTGGGCTATTGGATTTTCACGAGCTTGACGGCGGTTCTCGTTTTTTCCCCATTTACTTATACTTATACTTATACACTTTTCCTTTACCACCCTTTTCGTCCTTTTTCTGTCATGATGCCAAGTGTTGTGCGTGGAAAATCTTATATATGGTGTTGGGGAGGATACGGCGAGATGAGAAGACCGGGCTACTTACGCGGTCTTCTTATAGAAAATTCATTTTAATTGATTTCTTTCCTCTCGATTTGCTCTATGTAATTACCACTAGTGTTAGATGCTTCATCACCCGTATCATTCTGGTGAACTGTCGTTTTCTCCCGGAGTCCCGAGTTACAGGCCATAGATCCAGATAATACAGGTAATGTATACACAACAGAAAGATATTGATTAGTCAAGACGTACTCTGGAGAAGAATGCTTAAGCTCAGTCATGACTGTTCCAAGGGAAAACGGACGTGATTTAGGAGCTAGGAATCTATAGGCGGTGGGTAGTGCATAAGAGAGACGTGTAAGGTAAAACTAATCGATGGTGGTATGATATGGACAATATTACAATGTTACAAAAAAAGCTGGGTATGGATGACTAGGACTCTGCTTCTCACCTCCTCTTACTAAAGGGAGAAGGACTGTTTGTAAACAAGGAAGAAATTGTGTAGAAGCAAGGGTTGGCAAAAGACGCATAGGGGAAAAAAAGCAAAACTATGGAAAAAGAAGAAAGACCGAGCACATCAAAGGGACATGTACTGCGTTGCTTTTGCAATGGAGAAGATAGACAAGAGTATAAGGAGAATAAGAAAGGGAAAACGAGAAGGATGTTTGGGGCCGTCCGAGCTGACCGGGAGTTGTCATCAGAGACAGTTCGAGGCTCAATCGCCCAGAGGCATACCCTCCAACTCATCAATGAGCTGACGCCAGTTGTCAGCTAGCATCTCAGCGTACTTGACACGCTCGCTGGCCCATTCTTGGTTCCACCGGCTGACGTGGTACTGCGTAGACTGAAATGAGATGAGTTCGTCGCGGAGACACTCCTTGACAAAGACGCTGCGGTTGTGTTGCTGAACAATCGACTCCTTGTCCTGTTGTACATGTCAGTGAGGAGTTCCCCTCCCCCCCCCGCCAAGGTAAGGATGTTTTCGATAGGGGAAGAGCGGGGACGAAGAGCAGGCATTGAACGTGTGTCTTCTTACCTTGATAATCGACTCGGCGACGCGTTCAATCTCCCCAGCCTTGATGGTGCCTTCGGGCTTGGAGCGTAGGTTGGCTAGCTTGCTTTCGTTGGTCTGGATCCTCCGCTCCAGGTAAGGAATGCTGTCCTTGTCGAGGCGCTCCCGGCGGTCAAACATCTCGCGAGCACTGACCAGCGCGTCGCGCTGCTGTTTGAGGTCCTCGAGGACGCCCTCGTCCCAACCACGACTCTCGTCCTCAACGAGGGCCTGGCACGTCCTGAGGTGCTTGCTCATGGCCCCGAGGCCGTCGTTGAGGAGAGGTATCTCGTTGGTGTCAGTGGCGTACGTGTCAGCCGAAGTGCCGGTCAAGCTGCCGAGGAGCGTGGCTATGCGTCCGTGGTCCGCCGCGATGCCCTCCTGGCGTTTCACAAGACGGTCCATGATGCTGCAGATATTGATGTACAGCTCCGCCGACCGTTTGATCCCCACGCGAGTGCGGGCAAACAGATCCTCAAGGGTCGCGGGTAGGGACTCCTCCAGCCCAGGGACCAATGCGCGCTCGGAAAACTCGTCTAGAACTGAGATGCTCGCTTGCTTCCTCCATACGGCCAATTCCTGATGCTTTTGCGTTAGTTTTTTTTGTTTAGCCAGAGAGAAAAGGTGCGAGCGCGATAAGAGAGGAAAACTTAGATATGGTCAAAGCTGTAAAAACTTACTGTTGGTACTGTCAAGAACATGACTACAAGCTGCTCCTGACCCAGGACGGGGTGGCGAGCGAGAGCATTGAGGAAGCGGACAAGACCACGCCTGCGCTTCTCAATGAAGGAACCGTCGTTGGACAGGTGGTTCCCGTTGACAGCAACGCGTTTGGGCGGCAGCAGCGGAATGATGCGGAAGGGGTAGCGCTTGTGCAGACAGTCGAGCAGCCAGACAAAGTCACTGTATCGCCGGACTACCTTACTCCCCCGGCGTTGGCTCGTCACCTCGTAATTGTGGTGCTGGAACATGAAGAGACCCTCCTTGTCTGGCATCAGCGTTACCAGAATGTTCTCGGAGACGCCGTTGCCCCGCAGGACGGGGTTCGGAAGCGGCGCAAGAGGGTTACGCCGGGGGGGGCGCCCCGTCAGATCGCCACCGAGGGCACCGCCGGCGCCGAAGGGATTCGTGTCGGATCCCGGGACGGGGGTCGGGTTGAAGCTGGCCGTGTTCGAGCCGGCGCCATCGTAGTATCCCCCCCACGCGTCACCCTGGGCAGGCGCATGGCCACCATCGGTGGTGTGCGACATTTGCTGCTGCTGTTCGGCGCCGTTTGAAGGAGCGTGTGACTCGGAGACGGTGTGCTGGCTGGTGGTGCGTGCGCCTACCAATGGAGATTGGGCATCACTGCCAAAGCTAATCTGGCTGCTTACAGCATCGTTTCCCGTGCCGTTGATGCTTGAGTGGTCGTGGTTCTTGTGCACCTCGGGTGAGTTCCAAGGGTCATCCTCCGGGTCGTCCATCGTTGGACGCACGACGCGCGTTTGCGAGTTGGGCGGGGTCCGACGGTGCTGAGACCTGCTCAGTGGCGTGTCCTTGATTGGCGTCTGAGGCGGCTTTGAAGCGAGCTCCTCAACGGGAGGAATGATGGGCTCAGCGTTGAGGCCAAAGAGCTTGGGCTGCGGTAGATCTGGAAAAGAGAGGTTGGATTGATTAGCTGCGGTAGCTACGGCGAGGTCTCCACCGGTTAGGTTTTCGGAACTTGATTCGATAACGACAGCTGCGGGAGCCAATCAAGCCTCCACCGACGAGTGGGTGCGTTTGACTGGGGTGCTATAGTATTGATAGATTGTCGCGAATGGAGAGAAGCAAGGTGTGATTGCCAACGCCCTAAGGGCAAGGAGGCGAATTCTCAAGAAATGAATCAATCGACAAGAAGGAAGATTTGAATTTCATAGACTCAAGGTTTGAAGAAATGCGTGCGTGCCAGTGATTGGTTTGATCTGGGGGTGAAATGCGACTTACTCTTTCGACGTTCGTCAACGCCGTCGAGGCTGATTTCCTCGCCCTCCTGCGCTAGACCAACCAGAGCCATGAGCACATTGAACTCGCCGCGTCCCAGCTGGACCTGAGAGCCACCGTCAGGCGCAACCAGGTTCACGATGCGGGACTGCACCGAGACATCGGACAGCCTCGCAGCCGCGAAGACCTGAGAGATGTCATCGGATGTGATGACGTGGCCGCCGCTGCCGCGATTGAGCACGGCATCAAAGGACTCAATGTAGCTTCCGGGTACGTCAGAAGACGGCAGCAGGTTGCGCACCACGTCAGCCTTGGTCTGTTGCTTCCGCGGCGAGGGCATAGCCCAAAGCGCATCGTCACCGTCTCCGGAATCAATATTGTCGGCAAACAGGCTCGTAGACGGGGCCCTCTGAGGCGTCTCGGTCTCATCAAATAGACCCCCTCGTCCAGAGCGGGTGCGACCCGGAGATGCAACCGAGGGTACCTCATCGCGTTCTGTCGGCGAGGTTCCGAACAACGACATGGTGATGCTTTTTATTCTTATCCTGAGAGCTTTGTTACGAGGAAATTGTTTTATTCGATATACGAGGCTCGGCGATCGACTGGGCCGGCCCGGTTCGGTTCGTTATCACACACGCGTGTGTCTTGTCGTTTGAGTTGCTGCAAACGCGCGAGATCGAGGGAGGAGACCAGAGGTCAAAAGCGAGGCTGCAGTAGCCTATAATGGGGTAGCAGCAAGCTCCTAAGGCGCACCTGGACAGAATCCTGTAAGAGATGCAATTCAAAAAATATATGCAACCCCACGACTCGTCAATGGTTGCTGCTCTTGTAGGCGACGATGTAAGACGAGCAGTTTGTAGATCGCTGGGTGACGTGGAGAAGATGTATGATACAATGTGGATAAGTGGGCGCTGGCTAGCATGTTACAGCAGGCAGGAGCGGGTCGCTTCACACCTGCTTTACATGCGCTACAGACCAAACCAGCCATCATAGCAGAACTACTCGTACATTTTCATCACTAAAATGGTGGAGGACGAAAAGAAGAAAATGAACATCATATGGGATGGTACAATGGAATAAAAGTATGCGCGTCTATATTGTACATTAAATTTCTTTTTAAAGAAAGGAACCACCATCGTACACTTCCACCCCTTTCCCCTCTCTCCTGCTCTCGGGCTTGTTTGTTTTTTACCACATCGTCTCCTCTTTGGTTTTCAACTTATCCTTGTTGACGGCCGTCTTAATCTTCTTCTCACCGGGGACTTTAAAGTACAGCGACGGCGACTCTCCCTCCTTGAGCTGGTGACTGAGGTAACCGCGGTGAGCCGGGTCACGGTAGTACTCAATGTCCTCACGACTCGTGGGGTCGGGCAGACGGTAGCGGAAGCCACCCTTGCGCGCCTCGTCGACGATGCGGGCTACGTGCTCCTTGCCCACGGGTAGGGGGGTTTCGGAGTGCACCGACTCACCCGACAGGAGTCGCCGGATTGATAGCTTGGTGTAGTACCGCGTCACCACCTTGCCGCCAGCGGCCTCAATGCCCTCGATGGCGCCGGCCGAGGCGCGCGAGGCCACAATGTCGATAGGCTGACGGAGGCTATTCTTGCCGCGCGCGAGGATCTTGATGCCGTCCTTAACGCTGCCCACCAGCCGGCTCTCGATGAGCTCCTTGGGCGTAATCTTCTTGGTCGGGTCGATGCGGCCTTGGTTGATCCAGTCTTGGAGTTTGTCCAGGTTGACCTCGGACATTTCGGGGGCACGCCTGCAGAGGAAGAACAGAGAAAATATCGTCAGCCTCTTCTTCTTCCGTCTTGGATCTACCGTATTTTGAGTCTTACAAGTTATCAAATCCCTTCCTTCCGTGCTTCACAATCAGAGGCGTCTGTCCTCCCTGGAACCACGCATTAACCTTGCCGTGCTGTCCCTGACCTTTGTGACCGCGTCCAGAAGTCTTCCCGTGTCCTGAAGACGCACCACGTCCCACCCGCTTGCGCTCCTTGACGGCTCCCTTGTTGTTGGCGAGGTTGCTGAGGATCGAGGCGTGGCGCGCCTGCAGCACCTGCGTCTGCTGCGTCTGCAGATTCAGCCCGGCCAGACACGACATCAATGAACTGACTGGCGACGCCTGGGATGCATGGCAGCACCGGAGCGCACTGGGAGGGAATATCCGGGGCGCCATCTTTTCACCTGGGGTTCGTATTGATTTGGACTTGGTGGTGATGGGCTTCCTTCGTCTGGGAAACGGGGCCAGTTTTTTTGTTTTGGGGGGGGGGGGGGGGGGGGGGGGGGGGGATGGAGAGAGTA